CATTGTTGGCCGTTCCGACGAACTCGATTGATATGTCACCATCTTGCACATGATCCCTAACAAAGTAATATCTGGTATCGATGTGTTTGAGCTTCCAGTGTTTGGCCGGATCTTTACTGACCTGTATGCACCCTTGGCTATTGGTGCGCAGTATTGGCTTAACTCCGGATACTCCTAGATCCCTGAGCAAATGTGAGAAGAAGAGTGCTTCTCTTGCTGCTTCGGAGGCTGCGACCAGTTCTGCTTCCACTGCCGATAATGCCACGCACTTCTGCACATGTGATTTCCAACTAACCGGACATCCATACACATATGTGATCGCTCCGGACGTACTCCTACGCCCATTTGTAGGGTCAGAAGCCCAATTTGCGTCGGTATACGTAACCACCGGTTGGTCCGCGTGACTCCTGTGTGCTCCCCCTAAACTTAAGCGGTATTCGCTGGTCTGATTCAGATACTTTAACAAGTGTATCGCAGCACTCCAAGCACTGTCGATCGGTTCTGACATGTATCGTGCCAAAGCGCCTACTGCGAACGAAATGTCTGGCCTCACTGTGTTGGATACCCACAAAAGTTGCCCCACTAACTCTTGGTATCGTTTGGCCTGATCTGGGTTGCACTTGTTTCCTCCAGCGACTCCTGCTACACTCTGCATCGGTATCCAAGTTCGTTCACTTGTTCTCTCTAGCCACTTACTTACCATGCCTTTAATGTATGCGCTTAAGTCGAGTGTGATCCTGCCTTGTCTCCTCTCTCGAGTGATTTTGATTCCTAGGAATTCTCCTACAGGTCCGTTGTCCTCTGTTCCCCACTTGTCCATTATCTCGGCTTTGGTACGGTCGACTTCTTTCCTGCACGGCGATGCTATCAGCATGTCATCCACATATGCCGTAATGACTGTGAGTTGGTCGCCCGCTCCTCTTGAGTAAAGGCATGGGGCGCTCGGCATGCAGTGGAAGCCGATACTTCGGAGGTGGGTATCTAGCTCGATATTCCATTCCCGACCTGATTGTTTTAGACCATAGAGCCCTTTTATGAGTTTCAATACCTTTCCTGGAGGTACCTTAGTTCCTACCGGTGGCTTTAGGTAAACATCATGACGTAGGCTCGAATTGAGGTAAGCCTGTTTGACATCGATGGAATCAACCTCCCAGTCCCGTACGGCTGCGATGGCCAGCACTCCCCTTATTGCCTGGATGGGTGCCACTGGCGCAAATATCTCTGTGTAGTCTAAGCCCTCTCTTTGTGTAAACCCTCGCGCTACCAATCTTGCTTTGTACTTTGTGGGGATGAGGTTTGCATCAGTCTTGATCTTGAGTACCCATCGTGTGTCGACTGTGTTCATACCCCGCGGTAGGTCAGTCGTTTCCCACGTTCCCATCGCTTCAAGCCCATCCAGTTCCTTGCGCATTGCCTCTTCCCAGAACCTCCTATCCTTTCCGGCCAGCGCTTCGTGGACAGTTGGGTTCAGGCTGTCCTTTCCTTCCTTGACCTTAGCCGCCGTCAACCCGAAGTAACTCTTCTTTACCCAGGTCTCCGGGTTGCGCATGTCTCTAGCTGGCCTCCAGTTCGGCCATGGGCCTCTCTCCTCGGGTGGCACCGGTGCATACTCTTCCCTCTCATTCGTCGTTCTCCTTTCCTCTGGTATCCCGTTAGAGTTCTCATCGTCACAATGTGGTCCTCCGAGTCCTTCCTCTTCGAGAGTTAGTTCCATGTCCACGTGCTCTTCCAAAGGCTCTTGCTCCCTCTCATCAAATAGGTTCTCCTCTGTGTATCCCAGATCATCGATGTCCTCTTCAATAGTTGGGACTGGTGGAGGTCGGATACTTATTGGCCGCCATTCTGATCGGTCTGACCAGCACTGTGTCTCCATGAACCTTGCCGAGTTGCTCCAGAAAACGTTCGGAGAGTAATCAGGGCTATAGAATAGCCATCCCTTTCTTTCTAAGCTGTACCCTATGAATACGGCTGCAACCGCTCGTTGGTCCAGCTTCTTGTTGTTTCGCTTAGCTTTTGGAATATTTACCCAAGCTAAGCATCCAAATACACGCATGAGACTGACGAATCGTTTTGGTGATCTCTTGAACATGAGCTGATATGGAAACTCTCCGTCAACGTTGGGAGTAAGATTGATTTTGAATGCCGCCGCTCGTATGGCGTGCGGCCAAAATCTCTTTGGTAAACTCCTTTGCATCAACAGCGTTCGCATTTTCTCACCCAGGCTCCTATTCATCCGTTCTACTCGTCCGTTTTGTCTGCTGTTGTAACCGACAGTGGTTTGCCACTCTATGCCCTTTTCTAATGACCATTCCAATGCTTCGTTGCTCTTCCACTCAGTTCCTTGATCAGATCGGATTGCTTTCAGCTTTCTGCCCGTCTGTGTCTCTAGGAACGAAACTATTCTTTTGAGTTGCGTGAATGCGTGACTCTTTCGTAAGAGTGGCTGTGCGTGCACATACTTGCTATGGTCGTCGACAAGCACCAATGTGCACGTGTATTCTGTCACGCGGGATGAGTCTATGATCAGATCGATGTGGATGAGATCTAGGGGCCCCGCGGCTGTTTCGCCGCTGCCTCGCCCCATCCGGGCGGCCGTACTTTTGGACCGTATACACTGCTCACATATCAGAGCTGTATCTGGGTCCAATGCTGCTACAGGTTCGCCTTTCAATTTATCTACAATTGCTCTGGACTTGTCTCGACCTGGATGTCCTAGACGTTCATGCCAGAGCTGTCTTGTGGAGATCTTTGGTCTCCGATCGGCCAGCTCGAACTCTTCATCAACCCCTTCAAACAGCGGTGTTGATGTAGTCATCGCGCTTTGTCGCCATGTGTTGCCTCGGAACTCTAATAGTCCACGCTCGCGATCTTTCGCTATTTTCAATAACATGCCATTTGCTAGGTGTATTTGCCCGCCTGTGGGGTCTAAAGTCACACGTGCTCCTTCATCTGTGAGTGAGTTGGTTGACAACAGGTTAATATTGAGTTTTCTAACATACAACACATTTTGGAGATAAACGTCTCCATGTTCTGTCGCTATGTTGGTATCTCCCACAGCAGTTGCTTCCAGTACTTCGCTTCCAGCGGTATACACGCGCTTTCTGCAATTTCTTGGGTGGATGAGCATGCTGTGGTCATTAACCATGTGGTAGCTCGCTCCCGAATCCAAGATCCAACGTGTGGTTCCTTCTGGTTTTGGGAGCTGCCGCCAACTCGGGGTGAAAGAGCACCAGACCTCCTAGTTGGTCTTGGTGAGGGGGGAATTTTCGGGGATGGCGACAGAAGCATCGCATTTGCTGGCGCCGTGTCCGTAGCGCTTGCATACCCAGCAACGAATTCTCTTTGACTTGGTTTTTGTGCTGCCCGTGTCCGACTCAGTGTCCTCGGCCTGTTCTTCGCTTCCCACAGCCGTTCTAGCACTTGCTTGACGTGGGTCCACTTTCTGGCCGGGTACACTCTCCATTGCAGACTGGCGTGTAGTCAACGCCGTTGCTAGGGCATCGAAGCTGACCTGGTGAACCGTGGCGACTGTTTCCTTGTAGACTGGGTGTCGAATCGTGCATCTCTGGAGCGCGGAGTATAGTGCATCGTTACTAAATGGAGCACCTAGAAGGCTAGTTTCCGTCTGTAGGACCCTGATCTCTTGGATTAGCTTACGGGCGTCAGCATGAAACATTTTTGTCTCATTGAGCTCGGCAAGTAATGCTATCCGTCGCGAGGTTCTAGCTACTTCACTGGTGAGGCTCCTTTCGATCTTCTTCCAGGCTTGATGGCAGGTCAGGTGGTTCTTGCTGATGTCGAGTAGGAGGTAAAGAACGTTGTACTCTCCTTCGGTGTCTAAGGTGCTTCGTAGGACACCCACTAGGGCGTTGTCAAAAGTTCTGTTCCATTTCGGGTGGTTTCTATCGTACGTGCCCTCTAAGTGTCGTATGGCATGAGGGACTACTCGAAGGTTGGCCTTGATGAGTGTGCTCCAACTGTAATAGTTGCGTGACGTGAGCTTTGGAACCGTCTCCAAGATTTTGGCCAGGGTGCGGTAATCGTATCGGTCGCTATCGTCGTCCGATTCGGATCCTCCTTCATCCTCATTGTCAAAATACTCGGTTTCGTTACCGTCGGTGACCTCTTCGTCAATTTGTACTCGTTGTGGCGTTTTACCTTTTCTTGTCCTCTTGGCTACTTCACCCATGCTGGCTTGGCGATCGTTATCTCCCGCCATATCTGATGAATGTCGTGGGTTCGAGCCCCACGTTGGGAGCCAGTTGAATTTAGATACACCACTAGGAGACCACGGTCAGGCACTCCTTTATCTGATGTTCTATGTAAAAAGGCTTGTATTGTCATAAAGAGGTAACGACTGAGCTAAGGGCATATATACATGTTCTAACCACCTGACTGTGCTCTCTATGTCGAGTCATGCCCATGTGCCACGTATCTTCTTTTATGAGTGTTGTCATGTCAACACATCCCCTGCATACCATGGCGTTAATCCTCGTGCATACGCTGCATTAGCTCCCACTAGCTTCGCATTCTGCTCGTCCTCTTCATCGCCTGATACCTTCCCGATTTCCCGATCCTGTGAACTCCCATTTAATGCATCACGCGTTGGCGATGCCGGTGCATCTTCAACTGGTGATAATGAGACAGATCTTGTCGGTTCGAAGTGCAGCTCGAACGACTACCCACGGCAGCAAATCAATACAGTGTCATATGGCGTCGGATTGAGCGTCTTGGATGACTTACGAGGTGCGTAGTGGCGGCCACAGGAGCTGCTCACAATCAAAAGGATGAAGGCGAGAAGGAAACCCACACTCTCACACAAGCCATCGAACCGACCTTGCCCCTCAATCGTGCATCTCACCCTAGCTCACCCGATCAGATCGATCCCGCAGCAACCTCAAAAAACGCATCTATATCTCAACCATCATTTCCGATCCGAATAAAACAAATTTTAATTCGCTTTCTTTACGCACAGCACTCGAGCCTTTCCTCCTGTCGAATCAGACGCGAGGAGGAGGCGTAGAATCTCTCGCTCTAGCGCCCTCAGCCCATACAGGTGCTGTATCATCTTGCTCCTTTGCGCGCTACAAGGCCCCAAACCCAATCGGATTGTCCCACTGTCAGTGTCCGTTTCTGAAACAAAGGGAAATTGCACTCGTGGGGCTAGAACTTACCTTGAGTTGTTCAGCATAAGCTGCTTTGCGCTGAGCTGCAAGACGCTGTGCGTCGACTTGGCGCTTGAGGTCTGGCGAAAGGGCCTATCGACAGCCAACCACAACCGAGGTGGAGATAGGGAAACGTGCAATCGAGATCGGATTGACAGGTTTGCAATGCACGTATGCGGTTTAAAGGGGGCAGTTTGAGATGAAAGTGATAAGCAACAATGGGTATGTGGTCGGAGAAATGACCGAAAGCGGCGAGTCCAGCACATGAAAGGAATGTTGCGACCACGCGGTTGAGTGGCAACGATGAATGGGGACCCCATAGAACAATCGCAATGCAAAGTATAAGACCCGAACGTTGATGTGCGAGAACATGACAATGGCAGCCGAGGTCGGAATGTAACAGTCAAAGAGAACGATAACGATGCGAGCCGGAACGCATCGAGGATCTTGACGTGGCGCAAGCAGCGTTGGCGTTGGTGTGAAACAGAGTCACAATGCAAAGATGCAATGATGTGAATCGGATGCAACCGATGAAAGGGCCGAAAGAGCCATTGTGGTGACATTTTGAAAGTCGAAGGAAGGTTGAGTAAGACACCGTCACAATAGATCGGTTGTTAATGCGGTCGGATCAGGGATCGACAGGGTTGACAACGCAAAAAAGAGAAAGAGAACATATGGGGATATGCAAAGAAACAACAAAACGATTGTTAGCATGAGAATCAACAGAATGGAACAAAGGAACGCCCTATTCACAGCACGATGCATGAAGACAATGCGGCGCCGAGAAAGGGAAGAAAGCGTGAGGAAGGATGGCTGAGCATGAACTTACGTCGTAAAATTGCTGATCCGTCGGAGTGGTAGCTGCAGCCACAAATAGAATCAAAGGAAATGCGGAGTATCAAGGTCAGCGAAACATGCGCACATGCGATTGTCAACAAAGGAGGGGGAGTGAAGCAAGCGAGATCTGCAATGCAATACAAGACGGGGAAAGAAACTGGAAAGAAAGGGGACTAGGGCGTACCTTTCATGATGGCGTAGCCGATAGCGATAGTCACGAGGCCACCGACGATAGCTCTTGGCCACGGAGATGCGGACATGGTCTTGTCTGTGCGTTGTGCGGATTGGGGTGGAGGGGAACAAGGGTTGGGGAGGTGGTGGAAGAAAGGAAAGGAGCCGCGGACCCTTTGTCGAGAGTGGTAGCAAGGGCTGTGAGAACCGAGTTAAATCTTGTTTAGGCACGAAGTGGGATCCGACAGCCACAGGGTGCGCCAAGTCTTAATGCAAGCGATCCAAGACAATGCATCGGCGCTAGATCGATTGGGTTTGCGCCTAGGACACAAAGGGGACAGAAGATTGTGCAAAGATTTGCTGTCGAGTTGCGATCCTCCGTCTAATGTGGTTTCCGGTATGCAAGGTTCCGAGACAAGGTTGTGGAGCAAGTCCTAAAGGAACAATGCCAGTTCGAGCTGTGGATAGGACGAATGAGAAACAAAGAAGGAAATCCCCTATGTTCGACGTTGTCTGAGAAGTGTGGGAGATAGGACAAAGGGAAGTTGCAGAATGCAATGTACAACTCAGAACGTCATAGTCCCTTTGTGTTCCTAGAACGCCGTGAGAAGCCCAGTCTTTTTGTCAGCGAAGGGCAGACTTGGAGAAAAGTGGAGGCAAATTTGCAAGAATGTTAGAGCTGCGAAAGACATCGAAATCGGATGAGATCTTTTGAAAAACCCCGATTTTCCGCGCAGGGACCTCTCGAGACCAACACTTTTTTCTCGCGTGTTGCGCTTTGTTTCTTTCTTCGCCTTTCACCCTCCAGTTTCTTGTCCTCCCCCATCTCTACTCACCGTCAAGCCTCACCTTCCTCGGTATGCAGCGATCAGGTGTGGCCAGAGCCACTCGTTCGCTGCTTGATCAGGCGTCCAGCTCGTCAAGCGCTGGTGAACGTTGCGCTCGTCGTGCCTTAATTTCAGCTGCCAACACATCTGTGCGACCCTCCACTCGAAGCAACATTTTCGGTCCCCAATCTCGCACCACAACGCAGAACCGACCCATCTTGATGTCACAGCGACGCAATCTGCCGCCCTCCTCTAATGTCGCATCCTCATCCAAGACCACTGTCGCCTCCTCTGCCGACTCACCCGTGCCTGATTCCCCCATCCCAGTCTTCACCACCGTCCAAGACTACCGAGCATGGCGACACCAGGCTACCAAACATGGCAAGTCGGTTGGCTTCGTCGCTACCATGGGCGCACTTCACCAAGGCCATCTCAAACTTGTCGAAGCCAGCTTGGAGGAGAATGACTTCACCGTCATCTCAATCTTTGTTAACCCTGCCCAGTTCGCTCCCACTGAAGACCTCGCGTCCTACCCAAGAACCCTAGATTCAGACATTCAGAAGCTGGCAACCGTCACTAACACCATCTCGTCAGGGACACAGCGCAAAGTAGACATCGTATTCGCACCGAGTGTACGCGAGATGTACCCAAACGGGCTCACACAAGTTGTCTCAGATCAGATCGGCGCATTTGTCGAGGTCAAAGGACTCAGTCATCAGATGGAAGGAGGTAGTCGACCCACTTTCTTTCGCGGCGTCGCAACCGTCGTCACCAAGCTTTTCCACATCATCCAGCCCGATCGCACTTACTTTGGCCAGAAGGACATTCAGCAGACCGTTGTCTTGCGCCGGCTCGTTTCCGATCTCGTCTTTTCCCATCCTCCCTCTGCTGAACATCTTCGCGTCATCGCCACTGGCCGTGATCCCAACGACAACCTTGCGCTCAGTAGTCGCAACGCTTATCTTACTCCAGACTCGCGCCAAGTTGCGCCTGTGCTGTACCGCGCACTCAAGACAGGTCAGAATGTGTGGGGGCAGCCGCAATGGACGGATTCGCGTAAGGAGGAACGTATCAGGAAGACGTTGGAAAGCGCCAAAGCAGTGGTTTGGGAGCAAGCAGAGAAGTGCAAACATGATGGGAAAGACGTAAACCTCAAGCTGGACTACATATCTCTCAATCATCCCAAGACGCTAGAGAACCTGGAACAGACCTTGAAAGAGAAAGGACCCGAAGCGGTAGATATGGGAGAAGGAGCTGTCTTGAGCGGTGCAGCCCTGATCAGCCAGGGTAAGGATGGTAAGCTAACTCGATTGATTGACAACTTGCTTCTTGGTTTCAAGCTATAATGCACACCATTTTGTCGAATCATCTTCCTGATCAAGACAAGCTAGAAATGTCAACTGTATCACCATTTGTCAACTGCCGAACGTCTCTCATCTGAGATGCGGAATGGCTCAACCATGTTAAAGCTGTCAAAATTAGTCTCCCACGTGGCTCAGTTGGCGCTACTTGACCCCGAATTCCGAATCCAGAATTCTAGATGCGGCCAATTTCGACATCTTCAATCGCGCACAAGAAGCTTCCTTTTTCATTTCCTCACCTTCCATCTTCCCCACCCTCCCTTACCGATATCGCACCACCGCCATCACCAGCACCTCACACACACGTACAAAGGCGAGATGTCATATCGCAAAATTGGCTCATCCGATCCACGTCGACCCGAGCTTGTCCGACCTCTCGTTTTGCCCAAAACATGGTCGAACGATGATTTAGACATCTACTCTTCCTTCTTGGGGAGTGTATCGATGATGTCGGGGGCAGCAATGTTGACTCGTGCGCCATACATTGCTTATGGAGGCCTTGTGTTTGCTTGTGCCCACATTGCACATGATAAACCATTCAAGTCGAGTAAGACGAAAGATGCGTCCACGGGCGGTCCTTGGATGTCGCTTGCGTAAGTCCTCCCCCCGACACTCACTTTTCACCCTATCCAGTGTGAGAGGAAATGCTGACGATGCTAATGGTTGATCCTTTGACGTGGTATAGATTCTCGCTGTTGGCACTAATTGCTTTGGTTTTGCCAAAGGTAAGTTGATGGACGGAAGGGAAGAGATAGGAATGTGGGGAAATGGAAGGGAGTTTATTGACTGACCCTTATTTTTGGTTTTTCAAATTCGTCTTTTTTTTTTTTTTTTTTTTTTTTTTTTTTTTCTTCCAATATCGTCCCGAACTCCGCCATTCGACCGCGCCATGATTGACCTCTACCTGCCGCTGATTCGGCGCCATCGCTCATGCGTGTTTCTTGGCGATGGTGTACATGATCGCAGCTCTCGATGGACGATCCTCTTGGTCTCACTCGACAGAAGCCCTCCGCCTAAGTCTTCGCCCTCGCACCAATGACAAATTCACGAAAGGCAATTAAAGCTCGATTTTCGCGAAAATGCCAGAGATTAAGAAGAAGCGTTCAAAAGGAATAACTGGGAAAGTGCAACGAAACTGATCCGTGTGGTAAAGGAGACTCGATCTCATATCAAACGATCACACAGAACTCAACACAGCGATAGAGATAAGGGGGGAATGTGCATGAAATTCCGTCGGCCGACGTTGGAGAGTAAAGGAAGTAACAAAGAAGTACAAAAGAGGTAGGACGTGACTACCGATAACCGAGAAGAAGTAGGAAGGGACATGGGCTGAAAGCGGGAGCTATTCGAACTCGACCTACTCGAAGCTTCCATTCTTCACCTCATCCCCGGCACTGGTGTATCCCGGCACTGAGACGCATCTGCCCATCTATATCCACGTCACAATAAGAAGCGAATCTATTGTCAGCACCGCCCCCTATTTGACTGCAGAAGCGAGAAGAGAAAGTACTCACGGTAGAGGTCTGTGCACAATGGCGGTAGGGACCATTTAGGCGATGATGCAGTAAGGAGCGGGCTCGCCCTTGCCTTCGTTGGTAGGGGCGTGCTCGGGCTCGGCGGCAGAGACAACCTTGACGGCGGCAGCAACAGTTTCGAAAAGAGAGAACATTGTGAAGGGTGTTTGAAAGTCTGAAAGACGAAGAGTGAGAAAGGAGAGAGAGTGTGTAGTGGAGAGTGTGGAAGAGATGTGGACTGATGGGAAAATGTCGGTGATGAGGAGTTTGACACGTCCGTTATATACCTTTAGATGAGTCCTTGAGCGCTGTGATGATTGCTTTTTTCGACGCTGATGAGAAGCAAGTAGAGTGCAGAGGGAGATCTGTGATTATCGAAAGGGATCCTTGATTCCTCTGACGTTCCCTCAATCGACTCCATACAAGGCAACCTCAAGCTTGTTCAGTCAGATCCACTTAAGCGAGAAGAGGGCCATTGTCCAATTCTGCACAAAGGGCAGACCCAACAATGACACAAGCACTTCCTTTGATGCTCATGCGTGAGAACGAGGCGGTTCAATTTATGCATGCGAGGCCGCGAGATTCATCGCTCCTCTTCCCACTTCGAGTCCCTTTGTTCAAATACGCACGGCTCGAAAAGGGGTGGTATACAGTTGCACTGGGTACTGTCTGCTTTCAATATTTAATTGTGCACTTTTCCCTTTCTTTCTTTTGGCCCTATATTCCTCCTGCTACAGGAACGGCTCTCAACTCATCCGCACCTTCACATTCCGTTGTGAGACACGATACGACGAGACAAAAACGGAGCGAAGGCACAGTGAGAGACTCTGATTGAAGTCGAATGAACATAGTGAAGTGAAATAAGAACACTCTGTTGGTGGTTAACATAGAGTCGGATCAAATCGCTTGCGTCTCAGCCTTCTAGGACATTTGTCCATATTAATCACCGAAGTGAAAGCGTTGACGCAATCAATTGCGTCAGTGTAGAGCAAGCCTTGCGTTGGCAGTTTAAGCGTCGAAAGAAATGTCCAGATCTTTTCCAGTCCAGGATGAGGGACCTTCCATGCAAGGCTGAGGTGTGAATTGCTTCAGTCAGTACTCCGTTCAAGTCGTTGAACCCCGCTGTTAACGTGTTGACCTGATCGTTACACTCACTCCTTGAATCGACCAAAACGGTTCTCGAAAGTATGGTACGCCAGCGGAGACATACGGTTTTGGTTGCTCTGGCGGCTGCGAATCGTCCTTGGATAACTTCTGTCTACCCATCGTCGACTTATCCTAGGGGTGTCAGCTGGACATCGAAAGAAGTGCTCTTCTAGGAAGCTCTTCTCGCTTTGAGTCACGTACTGAGCAGCCGTGGGCTTGATGGGGTCGACAAGATCTATCCACTTTGGCCTCGGGCCGGTCATACGTCTCCGTAACTGCTCTTTCGTGATGGTGGATGCCCTGATGCCGGCTCTGAAGCGCTCCATGGTTCAATAGATGACGGAAAGCTGGCCTGATTGGGAAGTATGTGACAGCTGTCGAAGATTTCTTGCAACACAATGACAGGGCTTCTAAACAGTCGAAGTAGTAGTCAGTCGAGACAAGACAGATTGTTGAGGTCCTTGCTGTCCTCCGAGGTTAAGGTCGAATTTACTAATGATAAAGATAACAGGTTTGGCGATGGCGACGAAGTTGATGGTGGCGATGAGAGTCGTGAGATTGATGAGGCTGGTGACAGGTCGAGTCAAGATGAGACTTGTGATCTGAATTTATTTATTTTTATTTATTTTATTTATTTATTTTTTTAGCCCTAGAGTTTCATAACCACTTCCTCCTCATTGCCTGCACAGAGGGCCGACCATCTTCTTACATGCCAAAGGGCCTAAGCGCCTCGGTGTGATGCAGCTGGAAGGTCTGAGCGGTCCTTCGAAGCTCGAGCCTCGAATCTACACGCTGCGTCTGTATTTAGCTAAACCGATCCTATTCAGCCTCAGAGCGACGATCTCTATGGAAGCTACTTGTGGAATAGGGCACGACAGGTCCTTGGTCTACGTGTGTCCCGTCTCAGGACGAGATATAAGCCTGTCTCTCCCTACTTCAAGAAGCTTGCCCCCACCACCTTCTTCCAACCTAGCGCCATGTATCTACTCCTCAATAGCTTTCGATCTCTCGCAGTGCGTTCAGGCACTCAGGCAAAGCCTTTCGCTTGGAAGACTCCCTGCTTAGTGAACGAGTACAGAAAAGCTGGTAAGTGTAGTGTCAGTTCGACCACAAAAAAATCTAGCAACTAACGGAGAATTGCCACCGTTCTCAGCTTGGAATCTTCGTCCTGCTGCTCTTCAGAGAATCTCCAAGCCTGACCTTTCCTTGCGATGCTTCAAGGTCTCCGTCAATGACCGAACGGTCGTAACGTCAAAAATCGCAGACATCCACGACACGCCCAAGTATCCTTCCGACATCCAACGCAAATTTCGTGAGTGTGCTGTTGTTCTCTCTCCAACCTTTCGGTGATCAAACTCATCATGCTAACTTCGATAGCGAACCTTCATTCACCTCACCTCAAACAAACGAACCTCTGTTGACACCAGTCACTGGCGCGGCTCTAATCGGCGGCCAAAAGATGGTCTATCTCTCTACAGACGCCCATCAATTCCCAGTATGTATCAGGTGTGCATTTCTCCATAACAGTACTTTGTCTAACTCCAAACTCGTTTTCTGTTTATATGTTCGAAGAACTTGGAAGCTAGGAACAAGTTGAACATTGGCGGCATGAACGACATTCGCTTCTTCGAGAACGTGAAGAACATAATCGCTATCCCAGACGATGCCGTATCCTTGCGCAGGATCTCGCTGTACCTGCAGAAATACCACAAGATCAAGGTTCTTCACGGTCAGAGCATTCAGGTCTATTCCGTGAAGATAGGCAACGACCATTATCTAGAGATCAAGGCTTTGGGCCGTCGCCAGCTTTTCCACAGCAAGCGTGAGTGATGTGGCGACCGTCTACCGATCATATTGACGATTTACTAATCTCGCTGTATCTTTTCATTACATTAGTCCTGCCTCGCCAGGTAGCCCATTTCTTCATCAAACTTGCGAAAAGGACTGAAGGACTGGTGCTGTGAATGCCCTTAAGCTACAAGCAATGCAGACAGCTTCTTGTCTCTAACATTAATCTCTGTCCTGGAATTTCGCCCCACTTCAACGAGCAAAGACTCAACCCTCGTCAAGCTTAAACAATAAAACCCATAAAACCTATAAAAAATTAAATATAAAATTGACAAAAGCTTTGGTCGGGTTATCTCCCTGCCAAACACCAAATTTGCGGCGTGTTCCCAGGCTGGTTGACAAAGGGAAGAGTCGATCGATACCCTGAAAACCGCAGTCATACATATATATAGTGCCTCCTTCGTCCGCCCCAGCTTCGGTTAGTCATGTTCTCACCAAGATGTTCTCTACAGCCGAAAACGCCATCTATGGCGTTCTCTGCCTAATCACGGCATGTCTTTCCATCTCTTCTCTACCAGTTCACGTCCGGGCGGGGAACACAGGGGTCATTCTCATGATGTCGTGGTGCTTCGTAGGACTCTTCAACAAGGGTGTCAACGCTCTCGCGTTCAATCACCGTCTTAACATCTCCTGGAACTTCGGATGCGATGTAAGTGCTGTTGTCGAGCGTATCTGGCAGCTCGGCTTGTGCTGTAGCTCCCTTTGCGTTCTACAACGCCTCGAAAGCATCGCTTCCCTCCGACAGGCGCACTCCACGTACACGGATCGCCGGCGCCGAGTATGCTTTGATATCGCAGTCGGTTTGGGTATACCATTTCTGCAGATCCCTCTCTTCTTCGTGGTTCAGCCATATCGACTCGACGTGGTTGAAGATCTCGGTTGCAGTGCGCCAATCTACAATTCCGTACCTGCCTTGTTCGTCTACTACTTCTGGAGACTTTTCGTCAGCGTTTTGTGCTCTATCTACGCCGGTAAGTAGTCGTGTGAGGGGCTGCGACTGTATAATATAAACTGCATACTCACCAACAGACCCATCGCAATACAGCTCTTATTCTGAGGTGGTTCATTCTCAGGCGCCTTCAGTTCTCTGCCGCACTCTCGTCGCAACACTCCGGTCTATCGCAGAAAAAATACTTTCGCTTGTTCGCTCTGGCCCTTTGCGAGGCGACCTTAATCGCCGTTGCCCAGCTGTATCTTCTCTTTGCGGCACTTCGGATCACAGGACTTCTGCCTTACTCCAGCTGGGAATACGTGCACTCAGGATTCGCAACGATCAACTTGGTGCCGATGGACAGATCAGGTGCCAGCTCATCAACACTGACTTCTTTGGAGGTCTTTAGATGGTTTACTTTGTCTCCTGGCATTGTGCTTTTTGTCTTCTTCGGTCTCACAGAAGATGCAAAATCTGCCTATATAGGGTTGTGGCAAGCTATCAAGAGACTCCGTTTCAAAGTACGGTGAGTAATACCGAGAGCGCACACTTCTTAGCTCAGTACGCCTGTTGACAAATTGTCTCTCGCTTTTCACAGGCCTAGAAAAGAATGCGGATTGACCGAAGGACCTACTGGCTTCCAGGATAATTCGCTTGATCTCGACGATCTCCGCGAGCAGTCCTATAAAGTTTCGGTCGTAGTTCACAAAGATGTAACGGTTCTCTGAAAGCTAGTAGTAATCGCGTTGCTGTCTATCTGAGCTCTTCGATATGAGAACTGAGCTCAAAGCAATGCTATTGCCTCCGAACCTCAAAATTGTGCGAGCGAAATATTCTGTAAGAAGGCTGCGCACTACTAGATCGATGGCGACTCTGTAACGGGCCTACTTCGGATTTGGAGCATAACAGGGTAAGGGAGGGAAGGACAAAATTGGTCACATTCATTCTGTAAAAGCAGTAAAACAACACCCCGGAAAAGGGAAGAAGATAAATAAATAAATAAATAAATAAATAAATAAATAAAACCAGAGTTGATTTGAGGAAGAGTTGAAGATGCGTCGGCACCACAACGGGATAACAGGGTCTGCGGAGTGTAAGCGAGACCTAAATGAATGTCTAATGGGAAAGGCTGCACACAGTTGGAAATTCATGTGGGATGCACACATGTTGCCATGATGACACACATTGGATAACAACTCAGGGGTGACCAAGAGTGATGACTCATCATGGATAAATGTGGGATTGGAAGTGATCATCAGATATATATATACATATGTTCATGCACACAGTAGCATACAATTTAAGTATTCAAGAAGTTATACAACTGTGCAGTTGAGCTTGCAAGAAGCTCCGATCTGTCATGTTTCACTTGCCATCTTCAACTGATTAAGAGTCTGAAGCCCTACCAACTGAGGTAACAGGGAACCCTTCATCGCCATGACAGACAACACTGAAATACAAGCAGGTGCAAGTAAAGCCAAAGGAGGTAGAAAGGGTAAAGTTCCTCAACCACAAGTTCCCGATAACAATGCCACCAATGAAACTGAAATTGAAGTGACTGATGAAGAAACCGATTCCGATTCTGATCAAAACAGCAGCAGCAAACAATACAACTTTCGCACTCTGGCAAAGCTCCTCGAGCCAGTGCCCAAGTTAATGTCACAAAGCTACTATAGTTGGAATGTCCACATCAAGTCCTTCCTTCAATCTGTTCCCCACGCCATGAAACACCTTGAGGGAACATATGACAAGAACCACCCCAAGTGGAATAGTGTATTCGATGATGCCCTCACGAATGCAGTACATGGCACTATCGACACCACTGGAGAATACAACATCAACTACCTAATCCTTGACATCATTAGGGAATACCACACTTTCCACCAGATCTGGAAGAAGATTGAAAATGGATTGACCAATGAAGCCATCATAACCTCACATTGAATCGCCCTCATAGCCCAGCTAGGTGAGCTCAGAATGTACAATTCTGACATCTGGAAGCTCATCCAGGAGATTAGGACAAACCAGATGGAGAGCAGCTTACTGGGAAAACCATTTGCAGATGACACCTTGTTTTCAACCCTACAGAAGTGCACTATCTGCCACCCTGTGTATAAAGAAATGGTTGCCACCATCAGTCAACTCACTTTCAACACACTCGCTACAACCCTAACTATCTGACAATCAGTGGTTGAGAATTATCCCACCCAAAAGATTGACCCTTGCCAGGCTAGTGCCAGAGTCACTGGCAGTGATGACCAAGAGGAACCAGCTGCGAAGGACAAGAAGGACGAAGACAATGCCAATGCCAAAGTTAGTGTTTGACCTCGAAAGCTCCAGTGCTGGGTCTGCAAGCAACTGGGACATGGGATTAGCCAGTGTGATGCTACAGTAACCATCCTGGAGAATTCTCCCCTAGCCAAAACCAAATAGGAACCATGATGCTCCTTTGCACTGAGTTGGCAGAGGCCCCCTGGCTCTAAAAGAACCCCTCACTGGATCTTAGACTCAGGGGCCAGTTATCATATGGTTAATATCTACAGTATGCTCATCAATCCTAAAACTTGCCAAAAACGTGTATTCACAGCTGGAAGTGAAGTTTTAGAAGCAACAGCTATTGGAGATGCCAGCATATCAACAAGTAACAGAGATGTACTACTCCATCATGTACTATATGTTAGGCATCTCAATATTAACCTTTTGTCAACCAACTCATTAACAGACAAAGGAGCACGAGTGATATTGGATTCCACCAGTGGGCAAATACACTTAGCGAATGGTACACTACTCAAGATGACCAAGAATCATGAGCAAGGACTTTTAGAGTTCTGAGGTGATGCATGGCAAGAGAACACAATGATCACATCAACATCATTATTTGAGGGTGTTAATGAAGATTTCAAGCAGATAGAAAGCAAAACCAGGATATCTAAGCAACAACTATGGCATGAGCACCTAGGGCACCCAGGTTGAGATAAGACAAGGGCCATTACCAACCTTTTAAAGGATAAGAACATGGCTGAATTGGATCTGGATATGACCCAAACATGTGAGCAATGCATCTGATCCAAGAGTATGATAGCTCAAATGGGACAAGGTAGTGGTGAGAAATCCATCTCCCCACTTGACCTCATCCACATCAACTTGATAGTCAACTCCTCACACACAGCAGAATATACATGCACACTGGTATTGGTTGATGACCATAGCAAGTACATGTATGTGCAGCCCTTATTACAGAAGAGCCATGCGTTCTCCAAACTCCAAGCCATAGTATCGTACCTCGAAACACAGATGGGAAAGAGACTGAAAGCCATATGATCAGACCAAGGAATGGAGTGGCAAAGCAATGATGCACTTGACTGGGCATATGATAAAGGTATAGAATGGCAGATGACAGTTGGGTACAACAGCAAGCAAAACGGATGTGTGGAAAGAATGAACAGAAGTCTAGGAGAAAAGATGAGAATGCTACTCATGCAGAGGAAACTGCTGAGAAGCTTCTGGCTGTATGCAATCTGGGCTGCAGCATTCAAAATAAATCTCACACCCAATGTTGATGGTGAGTTCCTGTACCAAGTCATGTTTGGGAAGTCACTGGAGCAGCTCATAAAGTTCTTATGGGTTTTTGGATGTTTAGCATGGGTTAACATCCCTAAAGTTAAAAGAGACAGCAAGAGGTTGGACCAACGAGCAGTGGCATCCATATTCCTGGGATACAGTTTGGAAAGAAGAGGGTGGCTCTTCTATAGTCCAGACTATAACCCAAACATATTCTGGAGCAACTCTGTGAAGTTCATGGAAGACAAGTGCTGGGCTGACAGAACAGAATGGCACCCAACAAGAATACAGTCACTGCCAGCACTAGCAGACGAGGCAGACCTCAGTGACTTAAGGTACACAAATGAAAATCTATTCGATGAAAGGGAAAGAGAGCCCCATGATGAGCATTTGGATATGAAGGCAATCGACGAACCAAATGATGAAAAGGACTCCATTGAGGATACGGCGAAACATACAAAGGATGTGACTGACTCTGAAATACAGGCTGGCGACCCAATTCTCGGACTCACAGCAATGAACCATGATAGGCAGAGGAACCTGGATCTGACAGTAAGTGAAGCTTTATCCAGAGAAGACAAGCAGCATTGGAAAGAAGCAATGCATAAGGAGTTGGATGGACTCAGAGCCATGGGCACATGGGAAATCGCTGACCTTCCAAAGGGGATGAATGCCATCAACATGTGTTGGGTTTTAAAAATCAAGATGGATGCAGATCTGATCCCAACAAAATTCAAAGCGAGGCTGGTAGCTTGAGGGTTTATGCAAAGACAAGGAATTGATTATACAGAGGTGTTCGCACCTGTGGCACCTATCCAATCTATCTGAGGAGTCTTAGCCATAGCAACCATGCAAGATTGGGAGGTAGACTGCATTGATGTCAAGCAAGCATATCTGAATTTGATGCTACACCATGATGTGTTCTTGAAGCCACTGATTGGGACCAAGATCCCTCCAGGAAAGCACCTAAAGCTAATCAAGGGACTGCACAGGCTAAAACAATCAGGCAGAGAATGGAACTTGGAATTGGACTCACATTTGCAAAGCATGGGTTTTTACTGCATGCCAAGTGTGCCTTGTCTGTACTCAAGAGGGACCAGGAATAATCTAACTATTATTACAGCATACATGGATGACATGCTTATAGCATCCCCCAGCTGAAAGGAGATAGATTGAACTAAGAAGGAGATAATGGCTAAATGGGGAACAGAAGATAATGGGCCAGTGAGAGAGTTTCTGGGTGTATGCATAAACCAAAACAGGGCAGAAAGGAGGATGTCCCTCGACTTATCAGCCTACATAAGAGCCATGGTGAACAAGTGGTTACAAGCGACCAGTCAGAAGTCCTGGGTACCAATGCAAGGAACAGTGAGTTTGACTGGAGAAGATAAATGTAACCCAGTAGAAGCCAAGTGATACCAGGAGTTAGTTGGACAACTACTATGGGTTTCAAATACCACATGCCCGGATATATCATTCACAGTAGGGATACTGGCAAGATACATGTCAAACCCAACCAATGGGGCATGGAGGGCAGCCATCCACCTGCTTAAGTACCTGAACCAAACCAGTGAGTATAAACTCATATTTGGAGACCGATCGAACAAGCATTCAGGACATGCAATTGTTACATACACGGATGCAAATTGGGCATCAGACCCAACAAACAGATGAAGGAGCACCTCAGGGGCCATAACATATGTACATGGGTGTCCCATCAGCTGGAAATCACACGTCCAAAAGTGTGTGGCATTATCAGCTGTGGAAGGCAAATTTGTTGCTGCCTCAGAGGCAGCAAGAGAAGCACTATTCTTCTCCTATCTCCTCAGGGATCTAGAGGCGGGAACGATCCAGCCAACCTTACATACCGACAGTCAAGGATGTATTCAAGTGAGTAAGGACCCAGCAAAACATTGGAAACTGAAGCACATAGATACCAGGTATCACTTTGTTAGGGACCACATACAGGATGGGGAAATAGCAATCAAATTTGTTGGAACAGTGAACAATGTGGTGGACATCTTAATGAAGCCACTAAAAGGGTTGGCAATGTCTCAGCTAGCACAGTCGTTGGGACTCGAGATGCTGTCGAAGGGGGGAGTTGAAGATGCATTGGCACCACAACAGGATAATGGGGTCTGCGGAGCATAAGTGAGACCTAAATGAATGTCTAATGGGAAAGGCTGCACACAGTCAGAAATTCATGTGGGATGCACATGTGTTGCCATGATGACACACATTGGATAACAACTCAGGGGTGACCAAGAGTGATGACTCATCATGGATAAATGTGGGATTGGAAGTGATCATCAGATATATATATACATATGTTCATGCACACAGTAGCATACAATTTAAGTATTCAAGAAGTTATACAACTGTGCAGTTGAGCTTGCAAGAAGCTCCGATCTGTCATGTTTCACTTGCCATTTTCAACTGGAAGCAACACCTAAAAGGGGGTATCAATTTTCGAGTGTTTTTAGAAACACGTGTTTCTCGATTTTGACGAGTTTTTATTTTGCACAAAAACCTTATGTAAGCTCACCCAAAGTTGAAAAAACACATGTTTCTGAAAACATGCCTCTGGATCCAATAAAATGGACTCACTTTTTTATCACTCTCCAAAATGATGTCCATTCACATGATAAATCTTCACATCATATGAACACACCTGTGACATATATGTTTGGTCTCAAGAACATTCAGCATTCATTACACAAAGAAGCAGTACCAGAAACAAAGTGCATTTCATGAAGACAAGCACAGTGAGATGGTACTGAGAAGATGCTTTTCCTGACCATTGCAGTCTAGAGCATCATGGTCTTGGCAATTGTTGATTGCCAAGACTGGATGTCAAGGCAATGGTCCTCCTCATTGCTGAGTGACCATCATATGCATCATTTCAATGAATACATTGCATTCCTCCAAGTGAACACATTCTTTGTGCTCCCTTTCCTGAGTGCAAAGACATTCTTCTCACTCCCTTTCCTCATGCTCATGCTGTAACTGCAATTCTTCCTGCTTGGTGTGCTCTGCTTCTTGCTTGGTGTGCTCCTGCGCAAGCTTGAGGTGAATTGATAGGCTTTCTATCGAAGATTGATAGAAAGCCTCTGCAAGGGAATCCCACTTCTGTTCAACATTGTTACACTTGTGCTTGTAGCCATTTGCTTGTGAAGATGAGGCCCAGTTTGAGAATGTCGACAGACTTGAGACCAGGGCATCCAATTGGATGGGATGCAGGGGTGGTGTTGAGATGTCAAAATCAGTGCAATCTCCAGCATTACTGGGAGCAGCATCCACCAGGTCATGGATTGGGGGTAGGTTCCAGGCATGCACTGTGTGGTCAAGGTCTGCATTGCTGGATTCCTCCATGAGATCACTGCCAGGGAGCACATGATCAGAATCCTCATTGCCAGTAGCATCCAGGCTAGGTGTTGTGAGGAGGATGGCTGGCCCTGCCAACACATGTTCATTCATCATCTTGTGCATCTTCTCAAACCAAGGATACTTGGCTGAGAGAGCAACCCAAGACATGTAAGACTGTAGAGAGAAAGTGTCAGCAAGTACATATTCACAAGTAATATAACCAATGGTCTTAAAGTACTTACAGGATTCATTGCATCCATGTCCTTCAGCAGTGTTCCAGCTCCAGTAAGTGAGAGAGCTTTCTTCTCCCAATGGTATGTTTCTTAAAGCCAGCATACCTTGAACTTGATGTGAGAGGGATCAACAGACCTGGCAGGGAAGACCAATCTGCTGAGGTCACAATAGACCATATCCTTGCAAAGCTTGTTGGTGGGCTTGTTGGCTTCATTGCAACAAGAAGGGAGAATTGCACACTGATATGACTCATTGATGTAGATTGTGTCTACAAGGTGCTTGATGTCCTGAGCCTGCCAGACAAAGTTCTTCTTTGCCCCATTGTCAGCAGGCCTGGTGGATTGGGTGGAAGGTGTACCAGACATCCAATTGATTGGGGAAGTGACAGGAGAAAGCACAAGAGGTGCACCTTGTTCTTGCTCTGTGTTGGATGGGGGAGTTGGAGAAGCAGGAAGAGAAACATCCCAGCTTCCAGCTTCAAAAACTTTGTCAATGAATGACATGGTGCACCAGTGTGATGAAGTAGTCAAGTTGAGGAGGTGAAGCAAGCAGATGCACATCCATCTGCAAACATGCACACTTTTCAAAGGTGTGTGCAGCACTCTATGTGCACAATGCTTTGTGCAATGCTTTGCACCATCTTTCTTGCTCCTCTCTCTTCCTTCTTCCTTCTTCACCAACATGATCACCTTCACCTTCCATTCCAACCATAACCCCCTTCCCTTCTTCACAGTCCTCTACACCATGGTGCACTTTAGCACAAAACAGGACCAGCTCAATAGCATCATTCAAACTCTGGAAGTATCATTGCCCACTGAACTTGATCAGTATGCAGAAGAGTTGCAAAACCTGGACTTTGATATGGATGATTATGATAGCAGCTCTGACACTGATGATGGCCCAACACCTCTTTCAGCAGGCCTCATTCACATGTATGCCCTCATTGCCCAGCAGTGATACTCAGTCTCACAGATTCACACACAGGGCCACTCTGAAAAGCTAATTGAGCTCCTGGACCAATATGCCATGACAAAGCCAGCCCTTTTCTGAGGCTTGGTACAAATGACACCTTTGGCTTTCGAGGAGCTGGCAAAATGTATAAATACTCTCATTCTACCATAGCATACGAGTGGATCGGTATCCACTCTGAACTTAACTTTACTTACTCTATACTTACTCAGTTACGTATCATCACAATAGCAGTGCTCTTGCAATGACTCTCAACATGTGTGTTGTATCACTGTTAGTCGACAACTGTAGGCAGTGTTCTTCACACTTGTGGTCCAGTTCTCCACTGTAGGCAGTGTTCTTCAACACTTGCGGTCCAGTCCCTTACTGTAGGCAGTGTTGCTCAACACCTGCAGTCCAGACAGTTATTGTAGGCAGTGGCTCACACCTGCAGTCCAGTAACTCCCATCCTCTGTAGGTGATAAGTATATTGTGGTCCAGATGATGCCCAAGAGCATTATCAACAGTACTGCAAACACTTGCACTGTAAGGAGAGGGTATCACCCACTCACCAACAAACAACGTTTGTGCCACACAACCTCTGAATGGAGTGTTCAAGGCAGTCAGTCGAGACTTACTAGGCGACGATGCTTGGTCACATTTAGGCGAATCATATCGAGTAGTCCTTACTCAATCAACCTCAGTTAGTCTCTGGCGCGCGATCGCTTACACCAGTGACCCTCCTGCTTCTTGAGCATTCAGGCCCATGACATGGACTGTCTGCAGACTTCTCGAACTCAACAAGGAGGTTATGCAATTTGCATCAGAAGCAGAGAGGCAAAGTGCTTCTGCATGGGTGCAAAGGACTACTGGAGTAGAGGAATGGGGAAAAGGCTGGCTTGTGGTTGATGGTACTCATGTACTGCTTGCATGGAAGCCAGGGATGATGAGCCAGGAGCACTTTAGCTACAAGGGCTTTTACAGCATGAATGTCACCCTGGTCATCCTACCTCATTCTCTTTGCATTGTGGAGTCAGTTGTTGGACAGCCTGGTAGTGTCCAAGACTCAAAGGTTTGGACTTCAGGCAGCAACATCCTCAAGAAACCTCGATTGTACTTGGACAATGGTGAGTTTATCTGGGTTGATGGAGGGTATGGTCACTCTGCCTTCATGGTTGGACCTTTCTCACATATAGCTGCTGAGAAAAGCCATGACCTGCATTTCTTCAACCACTCTCTCTCTCAAGTCCAGGTCTGGGTTGAACATGCCATTGCCTACCTCAAGAATCGATTTCAGTGCCTGAATGGGTACAGAGGGAACATGTATCATGTCAAGGATCATATGACAGCAGCAAGGACTATCCAAGCATGCATTGTTGCCCATACATTTGCAAGCCAATACAATGGTCCAGACATGGTTGCTGAACTCCTTTGCCCATCCTTCTCCAAGGAAGTAGTCCATGATGTTGTTCAGACTCTCAGCACTGACCCAAGCCAGAGTGGGAATATGCAGAGTCAATGGCAGACAAATCAAGCTCAGTATGAGGAGGAGAGCATGGCAAGTATGCAAAGCATGACACAGCCTGCCTTGACACAACTTTGCAGCTCATTGGCACATGATCTTTGAGAGCAAATGTTTCAGGCACTGTTCACTTCCACTGGCCAACAGCAGGAGGACACAACCACATGCTCCAGGTGCCATGAGAGGACAGCTGAGGACTACAATGCAATGTTGGCATGGGGCCAGTTGTCCAGGCAAAGTCACCAATTGTCAACACCTTCACATCCCTAGCACCTGTTCATTTTCATCCTTAGTGAAATGTTTCCACAAAAGACTTGATTGACTATGACTGTCTGTAACAGTGTGAAGCACATTCTAACATGATACTGATGAGCTTCAGTATTAATAACATACATGTTAAAATGAACCAAATGTCACATTTGCTGCAGATGTGTTTTTAGAAACATGTGTTTTTTGGATCCTTAAAAGGGGTGTTCAAAAATGGGAAAAAGTCGTCAAAATCGAGAAACACGTGTTTCTAAAAACACTCGAAAATTGATACCCCCTTTTGGCCTTTCGTGCAACACAATTCTGACGTCGGTGACTTGTTTTCTTGGGTCAAATTTCAACCTTTTTCAGATCCGTGACCCAATCGACGCGATCGGCTGCTTGATCGAGGCCATCGCCGATGTTTCTCGATGGCATAGCCTTCGTGGACGGGGCGCCCTCGCTTCCTCACCTTCGATTTCAAACTTGATCACATTCACTCTTACCCACCTCTTCAGGCTCGCCTAACAAAGGCTCGAGTCCCACCTTCATCCGTTCCCCTTTGTAACTTGTTGGCCATTCCTGAATGATAGCGCGCTCATTCAAAAGCTGTCTCGGCCTGTGTTGGCCATGGTATGCAATCGATCGATGTGTTGAGACATGAGGAGAAAGGAGATTGCCATATTGTCACATTCCTGTGCAAGCGAGAGACATTTTTGTAGAATACTAAAGACCTCGAGATTAATCGACAGTGTTGCGTCAGGGGCGGAAAGTGTTGGTCTCGAACCAGGACGTCGGAGTTGCAGCGTTGCTGTCAATTTTTGCACAATTTTCCCTCTCTCTCTGCTGCTGCTGCTGTATTGTACAGTACTGTACTACAGAGGCACGCTCTGTGCGTGTCTCTCTCTTGTCCTGCGTGAAAACTTTGAACTGCATATTGGCGACATCGACTCCGCGATTGGGAACTCCGTTTCTCAGGTCAGGTGCGAGAGGGCAGATTGCCTTTATGTCGAGCTACCTCGTCCCACCCACATGACGTGTCTCTTCCCTCTCAATTCCACCACCAACTCCTCTCCTCTCTCCTCTCTCCTCTCCTCTCCACCACCTTTGACCTCAACTGACTTGACAAACACCGTCAACGATGAAGTCGTCCTTCGTGTCTGTTCTCCTCTCCCTTGCCTGCGCTGGCCTGGCTGCTGCTCATGGCGACCTCCTCAACGATGGCTGCCGCCCCATCTCTAAGCGCTCTACTGGCCTTGTAAAGAGGCAGGCAGGCGCTACTGGCGGTGAAGGCCAAACCGTTGCCAACAGTGGTGGCGCTTCTGCTGCTCGATACAGCTGTGACCCCAACACTTGCCGACTTCCTAAATGCCACTGCGCCGACACCAAGCCTCCTGGTGGCCTCGACCCCAAGGACGTTCCTCAATTCATCGTCTTCACTGCCGATGATGCTGTTCAGGATTACACCATCAAGTCGATCGACCAATTCCTTGCTCAGCGCAAGAACCCCAACGGATGCCGTCCTCTCATGTCCTACTTTGTCTCGCTCAACTACACCAATTATGCTCAAGTCACCGAGCTTTACGTCAATGGCAATGATGTCGCCGACCACACCATGACTCACCAAGAACAGCCTGCCACCAACGCCGAGATTGACGGCAACCTCATCACTCTTAACGCTCTGGCTGGTATCCCTTACAAATCCATCATTGGCTACCGTGCACCTTTCCTCAACTACAGCCGTGCCAACCTCGAGCATTTGGCTGCCACTGGCTTCACCTACGACTCTTCCGCGACCTCCTCGATACCTGTCACTGATCCCAACACCGACGCTTTCTGGCCTTACACGCTCGATAATGGCATGGCCAACGACTGCAATGCGGTCGACAACATCTGTGGTGGTCAGCCCAAGCTTCCCGGCTTCTGGCAGATCCCAATGTATGCCATCTTTGACGAGCGTGGAGCTGCCGGTGCTCATCTCATGGACCCTTGGCTCGATGCTCCCAACCCCTCTGACGTGCTCTCTTGGATGAAGAACACTTTCACCGACCACTACAATGGGCAGCGTCAGCCTTTCGGTATCTACACTCACCCCATCCACCTCGCCACCGGCTATCCCGGTCTCAAGGACCCCGTCGATCAGATCAAAATGCTCAACGAGTTCCTGGACTGGGCCACCACTTCGGCCAACATGCAGAACGTCTGGATCGTCAGCAACAAGCAGCTTCTCGCTTGGATGCAGAACCCGGTTCCCGCTAGCCAGCTCAACACGCTCGATGCCTTCAAGTGTCAGACTCCCAACGTCAACCAACGCATCTGCAACGGTTTCGCTCAGAACAATAACTTGCTCGAGCACTGCATCTCCAACACTGCCGGCGATCCCCTCAACAACTCGCCCTTCTACACATGCTACGGCTGCCCCACCACCACTCCTTCGCCTCAGCAGCCCAACCCACCTCAGAGCAACAACGACAAGACACTGCGTACGCGCATTCCCAACAACTGTGACACGCCCTTCTGGGATCCCATTGCTGCCAAGTGTCTCTGCAGTGGTTCGCAGTGTGCCTTTGATGATGCTACTAGACCCATCGGTCCTAACGGCGCCAACTTGACTTCGAGCGGCAGTCAGAACACGGGCAGTTCGGCTGGATCGTCGCCCAGTGCCAGCTCCGACCCGTACAGGAACTTTGGTGGCGCCAAGGCTCAGATGCCTTCGTCGACCATGCTTGCTTGTGCCATGTCGGCGATGGTCGCGATTGTAGGCGGCGCCTTGACGGCCTTTGTCTAGATCTTCGCGCATCCCTCTCTTCATGATTTCATGTTCTCTCTTCTACAGATACGATGTGGCAATTCTTCAACTCAGCTTCGTCACCATGTGGACAAGTCGTGTTGAAGGTGAGCCGATGGACATTTGCTCTTCTACTATTCATTGATACACCTTGCATCACTTGCCCCTCTTGCCTTTCTCTCAAGTCTGTGTGCGCACCCTTCAGTGTCGTGATCAGAGGAATGACGCGAAAGCGTGACGGTGACGGTGACGATGACGGTGACAGTGTAAATGTGTTGCTTTTCGTACAGCGGAGTGCAGAAGCACTTTTGAACACTGCCCGAGTGCCGTGATAATTCATCGCGTGTGTGTTGGCCTCCGGTTTCACTCCACGATTTGAACGCGGCATTTTTGTGGACATACGAGGGTGGCGGCAGCATTTGGCTCAGCTCATTCTTGAATGCTTTCCAAAACCTTGTCGCTTGTCTTTGCGAAGTTGTTTTTGTCCTCAAACCTAGGAACGAGCCATCATCTGCGACACGTTGCCATTCAACACCCTATACAATCGCCACAGATGGCCATGACGCAGTAATTGGCCATGACCAACACAACTACCATACCACCATGACCTCGTACCGATATTCATCTTCAATGGACCTCATCACAGCGCCCGTCCATGCCCCACTAATGCCGCATAATTTCTCCCAAGGATGCTCAAGCGGGCATCAGGATGATCTAGCTTCTGGCCACAGCCAGCCCAGTCCTTCGCAACGCCTGCTCTCTCGAATGCTTCCAGTCCAGGCACCGCTATCCCAGCACGCAGCTTCACGGTCACCACAGCCGCACCACATATCTACATCATCGGGGGCAGCGTCGTTGGCTTTCTCTACCACACAGCATTCAGCCACAGCTGCATCGGCACAGTCGGCAGACGCCGCCCCACACAAGTCAAGCCTAAGACTGAGCCACCCACCTCCAGCCCCTTCATCCTCACATCTGCACCAGGTCACTCCTCAGTCCAAGCGAGCACGTATCGATCGCGACTCCAGGTCAGCCAGCTCGACAACTTCACCCTTTCCCTCGAGCAACAACAGCCTTCTCAAGTCCAATCAAAGCTCAGCACCCACCGGCCCTCTGTCCTCGCCTGCTATGCCAAACGTGCGGCCGCTTTCAGGAATAGTAAGACCGCTGCCCATGCCGCCTACATCTCCTTCACAGCGTCCACCTGCGTCAGACGCTCGCAATCGCCATTTGATACCCATGCCACAACACAGTGTGGAAGACCTTGCCAAGCTTTTGCCCCCACGCCAGCCTGCCGCCGTGTCACCTCAGCGACCGGATGTTCCGCGGCGCTCTGTGCTCCAGGCGATACCAGCGCAACCTCCGTTGCCAATACCGCCACCTCGCAGCCCTGTCGCCCAGCATCAGCGTCTATACCCTCTTCCGTCTGCGCCAGAAGCTCTACCGAACAGAACCTCGTGGTCATTGACAGGTTTTCGATCCTTCGACCTCGACCTCGATCGCATTGCCGAGGTTCAACGCCTGGATCAGTCACGCAGCGACGAACCGACCGAAGAGCAGACAGCATCCAAAGACGCGGCAGGTGCACCAGCAGCATTGGAAATGGCTTCCAACCATGGTCGGATAAGTGGCTCATCACTCGGCCTTCCAGATCGAGGCTTGCCGTCTGGTTCCATCTTCGAAGTGCTCGGTCCGCCTGGCAGTGGCAAGTCCCATTTCGTTATTCAATATGCCATCACCGAGCGTTTACGAGCGCTCGGTCGAGCTCGAAGCTCACTGATGATGTACGAAGACCAAGACGAAGCTTCGATGCATGATGAAGAGCATCAGGGAACGACCTTCACGGACTCGAGCTACTTTTCGGAGGATTTCTGGGATGCAGAGATAGCGCAGGCTGATCAGGTGCTCATGATCGACTGCGAAGGAGCACTTACACCAGAAAGGCTTGCCTATGCCGCTTGGAGCGCTACTATCTCTCTGTGGACCACCACACGTCAACATCACAGCCCAGCAAATAATGAAGCAACTCACGTCGTCACGTCGACGGAGATCAAGTCTTCTGCTCAGCAACGCGCGGACATGCCGGAAGTGGTGCGTCGTCTAGTCGCTGCCGTCCTCGCAGGCATTCATGTCAGTCACGTCACAAGCTTGGCCGATTTGATTGCTCTGCTACGCTCTTTGCGGCCGACAGATGACTTGCGAGACCGACAGGGGGAGAAATTGCTCCCATCAGCGATGCCGGCCAGGACGTCTTTGATCCTCATTGATACGCTGTCCTACCACATCCGCTCTTCTGGCGGCAGCACTCAGGACCGTAAGTTTGCTGCACAAAGCAGCGAGCGCATTCGTGATATGCTGCTCCGGCTTCAGAAGCCGTACGAGTACTGCCCGCAACCCGAGTTGACTCTGGAGGAGAACGAAGCAGCCAAACAGAGATGTATCGAGGCCGCATCGAAGTTGTGCACACCAACGATCGTGTTTACAAACCAGCTTGGCATCCGCAGAGGGCGCGACGAGTTGCAGGCATCAGGCCGAGCAAGTCCCTCAGGCAGACCTGCAATGGGCACAAGCTCCTATCGATCGTTCGGCAAGAACAGCGCTCGAGCAGAAGGCACGTCTATGCTCGCGCCCCTGTTGAACGGACAACGACTGCCTCAGTCGGCAAGAGTGCGAAACGAGCGACCACCTCCCAGTGTAGCACTTTGCGGGCCAGAAATGTGGGATGAAGAGAAAGGCCAAGCAGCATCAGCCAAAGCGTCAGCATCGCCGCGTCAGTCGCAGCAGCTCCGGGGCCGCAGTGCAGGGGCAACAAAGCCTATGGGGCACAACCGAGGCTGGCCGCTCAGCTTTCTTGGTCAAGATGTGTGGCGGATACTGCTGTTCCGGCACGGTACTTTCGGACATAGATATGCGCAGATGGCCTCGGTGCCACCGATAGTGCAAAGCGAGCTGGCAAGTCTTTGGACACAGGCGAGGCAACGTATGCGTGCTCGAGAAGCGGAGGCGGCGCGGTCTGAGGAACAGCGAGCTTCATCCGCCCTAGCTGGATCTGCTGCTGAACAACGGGCCCCGTCAGAGCCAGCAGCAAATTCGTCTGATGCCCAGCGAGGCAGCCTGCAGCTATCTGATGCTCCCACGATTTCTGCAAGGGAAACAATCGCGGAGAACATGGACAAACAGATGCTTGATTTGCTGGGTCGGCTAAGGTCGAGCTTGTTTTCCTGGCGTCCATTCAGCTCGTAGCCTGTTCATTCCTCTGGCGCGCTTCTGTGTCGCCATCGTCTACTTCAATCAGATACAAGTACACCATCTGCCTTACGAACCAGACTGAGAGTGATATCGTCCGTGAAGCTGTGGAGCCTTGGGGCCAAGATGATCGAGCTGTGACTTCGCTGTGGTGAGAGTGTGTCGCCCAAAATCTTCAAAGTCTACTACGATTGAGAACCAGTTGCATTATTATTACACTATGATTACAAAGCAAGCTTTTTGACAGGCCAAAATTCTCAGAGCTTTCTTGGAAATTTTTGCGAACAACAGGATTCAAGAGAATTCTCCACCTATCGAAGAATTCAATCGCAGCCTGCGGAGCGTCTTCGCCATTCTCACCTTTCCTTCGATACCCCTTACTTCCGTCTCAATACAATACTGACCGCAATCACCAGCGGCTGGGTCAGCAAATATGGCAAAGCAGACAAAAGCCAACAAGAAGTTCCTACGAACGCAGCTCGATAGCACCATCAAGCGTCGTCGCGAGCACCAAAAGAAGCGCAAGGTTATCGAACGATCAGCTGCGCAGAAGAAGCAGAAGCAGCTCCGCAACACCGGTAAGAAGAGTAAACATGCACAGGACGTCCAAGCTCCGAAAGATCTGGGCGAGTACGAGGAGGACGAAGACGTAGCAGAGAGGATGGAAGCAGATGTGGCAGCGGCAGGAGGCAAGTTCAAGGGCATGAGTGTTGACGACTTTCTTGGAGGTGGATTTAAAAGTGGTGCTGCGGATGAGGAGGATGACGATGACGATGACGACGAAGGTGAGGAGGCGGATGACCTCGAGGATGTGGAAGAGATGTCGGATGATGAAGAAGATGTTGGCATGCACGCTCAGGATTTGGAAAAGCTCAAAGAGAGGGATCCAGAATTCTACGCCTACTTGCAAGAGAACGACAAGGACTTGCTTGAGTTCGGCCAGGAATCTGACGACGAGGACGACGGAGATGAGGAGGAGGAAGAAGAGCAGAGCACAAAGAAAGCAAAATCATCTTCCTCAAAAGCTGCCGCCCAGATCGATTCTGGCCCTCAGCGCGTCACGCTCAAGATGCTTGCCGGCTGGCAAAAGTCGATGCTTGCCCACCGTTCTCTCAAAGCTCTGCGTCGACTTCTCATTGCATTCCGGTGCGCAGTCAAACCCGAAGAAGAAGATCAGCGACCCGAAGGCGCATCATTCATCATCGAGGAAGCACGCGTCTTCAACAAGCTCGTCCTCACCGCACTCAAATACACCCCCGTCGTCCTCCAACACCACGTCCCCATCTCCGAGGATAAGCACGGAAACGTCAAGATCCCTTCCAACAACAAGAAGTGGAACCTCATCAAGAAACCCATTCAGTCCTACTTCAGCAACCTCTTCCAGCTTACAGAGACCCTCACTGAGCCTCGGATGCTCGAGATCGTCATCCGCGAGAGCACACGCATGGTTCCGTACGCATTATGCATTCCAAAGACAACGAGGGGGTTCATCAAGGTGGCGTTGAATCTGTGGTCGAGTCAGGTGTCAGAAGATGGTGTGCGCATGTCGGCGTTCTTAACGTTGAGGAGGTTGGGTATGTCGGGTGGTACAGCGTCGTTGGAAAACGTTTTGAGAGGTGTCTACTCGTCATTCATTCAGTCGAGTAGGTCGGTGAGCATTCACACTCAGCCGATGCTCAACCTGATGAAGAACACTGCGGTCGAGCTGTACTTGCTGGACTCAGACGCGGCATACACTCAGGCATTCAGTTTCATCCGTCAGCTCGCAATCCACTTGCGAAACTGCGTCAAGACCAAGACAAAAGATGCATTCAAGGCGGTACTCAATTGGCAATTCGTTTCGGCCATCGAGTTCTGGTCGTTGCTGCTCGCACGTGCATGTGATAAGGAGTCAGAACGACAGGCAGGAGTAGAGTCGCCGTTGAAGCCACTCATATACCCGCTAGTCCAGGTGGGCACGGGTGTGGTGGGTATGGTTCCCAACTCCCGCTACTTCCCTTACCGATTGCATCTGCTCAAGTCAATGATGCGTATTGTCTCGCGTACTGGCACATACATCCCGCTGGCACCCCTGATCTTGTCGGTCTTTGAATCGCCCGAGTTCCAACGCAAACTCAAAGGCTCCACGTCAGCACCTATCGACTTTAGCACCACCTTGCGAGCACCAACACAACTTGTCCGCACACGACCTTACTCCAGCCAGCTTCTCTCGGAATACTCGTTCTTGTTGCTCGAGTTCCTCGCTTCGCAGTCGAGATCGATTGCTTTCCCCGAACTGGTGCTGCCATTGCAGATTCAGCTTAAGCGTCTTTCGAAGAGCACAACAAATGGCAAGTTCCAGGCTGAAGCAAAGCAGATCTTGGACAAGTCCCACCAGACTGCGCTTTGGGTCGGCAAGCAGAGAGATGCGATCGACTTCACACCAAAAAATCTCGACAAGGTGAAAGATTGGGAGATGGAGAGCAAGGAGAACCCGCTTGAGGCTATGTTGAGGTTGGCCAAGAAGGTGCGCGCGAAACAGGAGGCCGTGATCAAGGCTCAGGCTCAGGTGGTTATGGATGACTATGAGAGTGAAGACGACGATGAAGATGAGGACGAAGATGAGGAGGAGAAGGAGGAGGAGGATGACGAGATGGAGGTTGAAGAGGAAGACGACGAGTGATTTGCTCTTCGTTGCAACTTACACAATTATTCTTTCACCATGTCTCTTGCAATCATATCCAGTACTTGCACAGAACAAACAGTAAGTTGGTCATCGTCGCTTATGGTTTCTACTATCGTATGTGCAGAATCTGCGAAGGCTTCTTTGAGAACGAGGGTAGTTGAGAGAGGAGCGGAAAGAATTTCGCTGGCCTAACAACGGCGAAAATTCGATTGACTCCAGGAAAAGGGGTCGCTCGTGGTGGTTGCGCGTGAGAAAATGTGAAGAAGTATAGTCCCGATAACTGGTGATCGGGGAGAGTCCGAGTACGATGTCACTACTACTTTTAAGGCAGAAACATATATACTTGATTGACTAAGAAAAAAAGAGTGTGGCAGGAGCCTCAAGCTCCCTGCAAGATATATATACAAACTGGGTGGCATACACCAAGTGTGGGTACATCCTACTTAATGACAAGGTATGACAACAAGTGGGTGTAGGTTGTACCTGATCTTCGATATTTGATCAGATTGTCCTTCACCTGATCCATCTTGTAACTGCTTATGTCACCCTATATCATCTCACTGGATCGTTTCTTTCAGTAGCATGGTTGCGTAACGTTGCATTAAAGTGTCGACACCACTTCGATGGGGCTATGATCAAGCTCCCTTCTGACAGGTGTATGGTAACTGAGGACCTTGTATTGCTCAAGTGGGTTAGGACTACAAGCATGAGTATATATAGCTCCACAGTGTTCATGAGGAGGTTGGATCACCTAGAATGGACATAGCACCTGTTCTCCTGAGCTCTTCAATTGTCACTCCTGTAGAGTCTCTGAATCATTCCCCCTGCAATACTCCTGAGCTTTTTCCTCCACTACATCATGCTTGCTGCATTTCTGAGTCATTTTGTGAGTAAGCATGATCCAGCAATTGGTATCCTTGGCAATAGTTAGATTCGGCTATCTTGAGTTTCAGCAATTGCAAGCTTTGGCAAATGAAAACCTTAGGGATTTTCCATCATATCTTCAACTCCCCCTCTCAATGGCATCTCTAATCCCATTAACTTAGTTAGTTGGGACATATCTACTCCCTTCAACAGTTTTGTCAGAATGTCTGCCATGTTGCTGGCCATTCCAACAAAACCAATCTCTACATCACCTTCCTGGACATGATCTCTAACAAAGTAGTACCTGGTGTCTATGTGCTTGAGTTTCCAATGTTTTGCCAGGTCTTTACTTACCTGGATGCACCCCTGGCTATCTGTCTGTAACAATGGCTTGGCAATCTCTATCCCTAGATCTCTGAGTAGATATGAAAAGAAGAGTGCCTCCCTAGTTGCTTCTGATGCAGCAACAAACTCTGCTTCTACTGCTGACAGTGCCACACACTTCTGCATGTGAGATTTCCAACTTACCGGACATCTGTCAGGGGTCACGCGCCTGAAACCTGATATCTGTAGTAGAAACACATCTATTACAGATCCTGTCAAGATATGTGGTAAAATGCTGTGTATTATTATCCTTGTTGAGATCTGTTGTAGAAGGCCTCTATGACTTTTCTCACTCAAATATGTGATAGGTTGATTGCTATTGCAGGTTTTGACTAACTGCTGTGGACACTCCATCCAGAGGTAGCTCGGCACGATCAATAATGATAGATGTATTGCGATGACACCAAGGTCTGGTGTGAGTGAGAGGACTGGTAGTGCCAACACAAGTGTCCAGTGTGTCAACTGAATGCTTGAGGTGATCCCCCAGACTGCAGTGGATGACTGCCTTTGGTTCTATCATTATCCAGACCACAGGTTTCTATGAACTGCCTTCAGATGTCAGTGAGCAGTGATACAACACACATGCTATGATGGATGCAATCTTACTGAGATTGCAACATGCTGACTGGATACTAATGTATACTTATGTGTAAAGCTATAACTAGTAGTGTATGGTGTAGAGTGGATGGCAATCCACTCTCTTGCTAGGACAGAGAACATGGTTATATACCTTTCTTGCAATGTCACCCATGACACTGCTCATCCTCCTCATCCCTCCTATGCTCCCCATCCACCTTGTGTTGCCACTCGTTGGCAATGCTTCCTTGCCTCCTCTGGATGGGTGGCCTCTGGCTGCTTCATCTTCATCAGGGGCCAGTCCCACCTCATCTGGGTGGCAACTCACACCCTTTCATCCTTTCTTTGTATTCAGCACCCACCTCCTTCCACCAGCTTCATCCCTGTGGTGCCCCTGCCTCATCTGATGGTGTCCCCCTTGTTTGGTGACCTCTTCTTTGCTGTATCGGCAATGGGGTGCCTCTCTGATCAATCCTTGTGAGATCTGCAGTACCCAGCATGATATTGCAATTTCCACTTAACTCTGTAGTAACAACATTGTTCCCACAGATCCTGACAAGATATGCCATAGGATTGTTTCTACTGCTGAACCCAGCAAACTCTTCCTTAAGCTCTCGTTTAGCCCAATCCTGCAATTTCTGTGCTCCTTCATATGACTTCAACTTCTTCCTGCCTCCTGCGCATCCAGCTCCTATGACACCGAGCCGATCTCACCAGAGATCGGGTGCAACATAGTCCCGCTCGTTGTCATGGTAGATCATTAAGTAGGAGTACTCCCACCTTTGGCATGTGCTGCTCACATGTATATATATCTCACAGAGAGCACTAGGCTCTCACCACATTCCCTTAGTCAAATGAGTATATATGTTTCTGTCTATAACTAGCAGTGACATCATACTTAGGCTCTCCCCAATCGCCAGTTATCGGGACCAAAACTCTACAGGTTATGAGCCCAACTAGCCAATATGCTACCAAATCAAAGAAGATATCAACAAGAGGTTTCACCACCAATATGTCTAACCCTGACTACTCATTGTACAAATACTTTGTCAAGATGACCGAGGACTTCATCTCTCGTCTACCAGGCATTGTACAAGGTTGTTTTCATAGAGTAATCAACAATGAAACCTATGGTACTCCAAACACCCCAAAAGATGGTCAACTACTGAAGTTCACCATCATGGATGATGAGGAGCAGATCATTACACCCTTGTCTATCATGGTTGAATGTGTTAGTGCACTCTACAAAGCAATGCATGGTCTCAGCCTGTTTGCTAACCAAATTGAGCTTGGCAAACACATGCAAGCCAAAATAAGCTCATTCATTGCCAACAAAGAGTGGGATGCAAACCACATCCTTGACCCTGTGTACGAGCACCCAATGGACTTTGAAGCTGCTGCTCTGGAACGGGAGCTCAACGCAGCATCGTCCGAAGGAGGAAATGTCATACAGGGCTCAACAATGGACAATTCTTCCGATCTGGAAGAGGAGCTTGATGTGGCATCATCTGAGGGGGGAAATGTCATGCAGGACTCAAAGATGGACGAAGCCTCTGATGTAGCGCAAACGTTGACCACAACAAGCAAGCTCAATGTCGCTCCGACCGCAAGAGAGTCCATATTTGACCCGACTGCTGCAGCAATCATCACTGGTCCGAGCTTTGTCGATGCTGCGGCTGCTCATCATGGACTTCCCACCTCTTCGTCAGCTGCCTCCCATCCCACTAGCATAGATGGAAGTTTCAACATCAAGATCAATGATGAGCAACCTCTTCCCAAGCCACCGGAAGGCACATCTGTTGATGTTTCGGAAGCACTCATGATGGATAGCAACAAACCCAATGGCAGCAACTATAATTGCATCGAGGATATGTATGATACAAGCAAGTCTGTGTTGAGCAAAGCACTTTGCAGCACTCATGAGACATATGGCAACGGCGAGATGGATTACCACCTCTACACTGACATTGCCACCATGGACAAGCCCTGCAAGTCCTGTTTCCAAACAATCATTGGAGGAGCCATCAAGATCTTTGTGGATGCCAAGGGTGACATCCTTCATGGCCTACAGGTCATTGAAGTTGCTTGCAGTACCACCAGCACTCTCATGGAAGAGTGTATTGAGGTCTCGGAGAACATGGACACCTATGCTTGTCATGAGTGTCTTGGCATCACCACTGCCATCGTTCCCTTCAACTTCTCCACCATGATTCCACTCTGGTCTATCCCCATGGCTACCATCACCAGTAGCACCCTCATCCTCAAGCCTTCCGAGCGAGTCCCCGGCATCTCTATGATCATTGCAGAGTGCTGCGAACCTGCAGGAATGCCCAAGGGTGTACTCAATCTTGTCAATAGCACTGTCGATGTCGTCAACGATATCTGCGATGACCCTCGCAACAAAGATGTTTCTTGTGCTGCTGCGCAGTCGCGAGATGAGGTTGTGAATCGATGGTATTCTAGAAGGAAGCGAGGTTTAGCGACGAGGAGAGTGATATCTCGTCTGACCACAAACATCCCGGCTGAGAGACCGAGATGAGCATGACATGACAAGAGTGAGCTCACTTTGCATGCATGAACATCCTGGCTGAGAGGCCAAGATGAGCATGGGTGCAATACATCCCCCCCTCTCAACAGATGATTTGTATGTACATGAGATGAGACTTTGAGGGAAGCTATGAAGGATGGTTGCCAGGGAGACTGTGTTTGGCCAATAGGCATGAGAGGGCATCGACATTGGAATGATGCTTGCCAGGCTTGTGAGTAAACTCTATCAAGTCAAGGAAAGGCATCAAATAGGCCCAAAATCACTCAATACGAGCAGTGAATTGTCACAAGCTTGGTGAGTTGCCTTGAAGGACTGCACCAAGCAGAGCATGATCAGTCATGACCATGATTTTACTCACACCTTCAAGAAAGTGTTGGAGGCAGTGAAAGGCCCATGCCAAGCAGGAGATCTCAAGTTTGAGACCAAGAAGTTTTGCATCATCTGGGGATGTAGTTGTAGAGATGAAGGTGATGGGATGCTCGCAAAGAGAGGGGTCAAGCATGTGAGCAATTGCAGCTGATTATGATGTGTTTCTGCTGTTTCAATCTCGGATAGCTGTTTCACAGCCATCTGTAAGCGGTCGCATGCCTGAAACCAGATTGGGTGTTTCCGATTGATTTCAGTGAGATCAATTGAGTAAGATCTACTCAGTAAGTTTTGACTGAAAGTAACCAGACAGCTTCGTTCTGGTAGGTTTCGGCTGACCACCTTGAACACTCCATTCAGAGGTTGCATGGCACATCCATTACTACCTGAGATGAGAGTGTTACACTCTCCTAAACAGCATGAGTGTTCATAGTACTGTTGCTTAATGCTCTTTGATGTTGCCTGGACTGAGATATGCCTATTGCCTACAGAGGACAGGAGTTACTGGACTGCAGGTGTTGGACACTGCCTACAATAACTGACTGGACCACAGATGTTGAGCAACACTGCCTACAGTGATGAACTGGACCACAGGTGTTGAGGAACACCACCTACAGTTGATGTCTGATGGTGATACAACACACATGTTTGAGTTGTCATTGCAAAGCTATGCTATTGCAATGATATGAGTCAGGTAAAGAGTAGTAAGATAAAGAGTAGAGTGGATGAGGATCCACTCATATGTTATGGTGAATTGAGAGTATTTATGTGTTTGCTCAATGTTGCCTGTGACACCTCTCCTGCTCCTTCTGAGGAGGGTTTTCGCCTCCTCCTGACACTACTTCTGTACTGTGTGCTGACTCCATCAATGCCACTACTCTACTGCCTGGACAGGGTGTTGGTTTGGGCGACACCCCCTCTCACCTATATGCTCCTTGTTGCCTGTCAATATGTGTCGATCTCTTCAACACTGCTCTTCCTCCTTATGGTTAATCCTGGTCTTCTCAACACAGCTCCCCCTCTCTAACCAGCAACCATCTTCCCCTTCTTATCTTGTGAATCCCTTGGTTGCATGCTGGACCTTATTGTCATGCTCCCTGATCATGCAGTTGCCCCTGTGGCTGGCCCTGTGTGATGGTATGCATGTCCCCCCTGAGTGGTAACCATCTGCATGATACTGAGCTCAGTCCCCTTCCATGATTGTTTCCTGCATGCTTCCCTTGTCTTCCCTGCTGGGGAAACTCCTTCTATGATCCTCCTGTTGTTTCAATGTGATGAGCTACCCATTCTACACTGATGGTGCTTTGCCAGTGCATGCTTGGTGAAACATACTGGGTAGGCTTGTTCTGATCGATCCTAGCAAGATTACTCAAAACCCCAGTTCTTGGTTGGATCTGCAAATCATATGCACCACTATCCCAATCAGATTGTTGACCCCCAATGCTCACTTCAGATCATTCTGCGCACACTTCCTGCGCCGACCCTGTGACACTTTGTTGGTATCAGATTAGCATCTGTCTTGACTTTGAGCACCCATCGTGTGTTGGCAGTGCTTACACCAGGTGGGATGTCCACAACTTCCCAAGTGCCCATCGCTTCCAGCCCTTCTAACTCCTTACACATCGCCTCTTCCCAGAACCTTTTTTCTTGTCCAGCAAGTGCCTCATGTACTGTTGGATCTAGGTTCCTTTCCTTCCTGTCGTCTATAGCTGTAAGCCCGAAATGACTCTCTTTGCCACCTGTCTTGATGTTTGGCTTTTCTTTGATTGAACCTGCTGGGATCTTGTCGGTCGCCTCATCGACTGATTCCATGTTGAGATATTTGTTTGCTGCTTCATGATCTGTTTCATCAAATAGGTGTCATGGGAGCCGGATGCGCAGGAAGCAAGAAGAGTTGAAGTCATATGAAGAGGAGCACAGAAATCATGGGATCAGGCTAAACAAGAGCTTAAGGAAGAGTTCACTGAGATTGGTAGTAGAAACAACCCTAAGGCATAACTCATCAGGATCAGCAGGAACATGGTCATTACTACAGAGTTCAGTGGGAATCATAATATCATGCTGAGTATGACAGACCTCATGAGAATTGGTCTGAGAGGCACACCATCACTGATATGACAAGGGGAGGATACCAAACAAGGGGGAGGACACCACCAGATGAAGCAGGGGTCTGGCATGATGATGAAGTTGGTGCCAACAGGTGGGCACTGATGACAAGAGGGTGATGAAAGGGTGCAGGTCACCACTCAGATGAAGTGGGACTGGCCCCTAATGGAGATGAGACAGCAAGAGGTCCATTCATCCACAGGAGGCAAGGGAAGCAGTGCCAACTAGTGGCATCACAAGATGGATGGGGAGGATAGTAGGGATGAGGAGGAGGAGCAGTGATGTGGGTGGCACTGCAAGAAAGGTATATAACCATGCTCCCTGTCATAGTAAGTGAGTGGATCACCTTCCACTCTACACCATACATAACTAGTTATCACTTTAGCATAAGTATACATTAGTTTCAGTCAGCGAAGTTGCAATCAAGTAGATTGCTTCCATTGTAGCACATGTGTTGTATCACTGCTCACTGATGTCCAAAGGCAGTTCATAGCAACCAGTGGTCCAGATACAATAGAACCAAAGGCAGTCATCCACTGCAGTCTGGGGATCACCTCAAGCACTCAGTCAACACACTGGGCACTCATGTCAGCACCACCAATCATCTCATTCACACCAGACCTTGGTGTCAATACAAGTTCATATATGTTATTGATCATGCTGAGCTACCTCTGGACAGATTGTCCACAGTGGTCAGTTGAAACCTGCAATAGCAAAACCACTATTACATCTTCAGGCAAGAAAAGTCATAGAGGCCTCTCTACAACATACCTTGTTAGAAATAGTAATACACAGCATGTTACCACATATCCTGACAGGATTCATAATAGATGTGTTTTTATTACAGATATCAGGTTTTAGGTGCGAGACCTCTGACAATAGGCACTCATCTGTGTATCCCAAGTCATCGAGATTTTCTTCGCTTGTTGATATTGCTGGAGGTTGTATGTCCATCGGTCACCACTCTGTATGATCTGACCATCATTTTGATTCTAGGAACTTAGCAGAATTTCTCCAGAAGACATTGGGGTTGTAGTTGGGGCTATAGAATAGCCATCCTTTTCTCTCAAGGCTTTATCCTAGGAATATGGATGCTACTGCTTGCTGGTCTAGTTTCTTGTTGTCCCACTTGGCTTTTGGAACATTTACCCATGTGAGGCATCAAAACACACAAGCCAGGTGTATGAACTGTTCCAGTGGCTTTCTGAACATGAGTTTATAAGGGAACTCATTGTCAACACTTGGGGTAAGGTTCATTTTGAATGCCACCACCCTAATTGTGTATGGCCAGAACCTCTTTGGTAGCCCCCTCAGCACTAGTAATGTCCACATCTTCTCACCCAGGCTCCTGTTCATTTGTTCTACTCACCTGTTTTGTCTGCTATTGTATCCTACTGTGGCCTGCCATATTATGACTTTGTCTTGTGACCATTCCAAAGCCTCATTACTCTTCCATTTGGTCCCTTGATCAGATCAGATGGCCTTCAAGTTTCTGCCAGTTTGTGTTCCAAGGAACAAAACTATCCTCTTGAGTTGATTGAACACATGGCTCTTGCATAGTAATGGTTGTACACATAGATACTTACTATGATCATCAACAGTCACTAATGTGCATGTATGCTCTGTTTCATGTGACAAGTTGATGATCAGGTCAATATTTATGAGATCCAAGGGCATAGTGGCTCTTTCTCCACTACCTTGTCCCATTCAGGTTGCTGTGCTTTTGGATTGTTGACACTGCTCACAAGTGAGGGCTATGTTTGGATCCAAGTCTGCTGTGATTTCTCCTCCTAGCTTTTTGATGATCATGTTCACCTTGTCCTGACCTGGGTGTCCAAGGCATTTGTGCCACAATTGTTGCATTGAAACCTTAAATTCCTTATTGTTCAGCTCAAACTCTTCATTAACACCTTTGACTGGTTGTGTTGACATAGTCATTGTGCTTTCCTGCCATGTGTTGCCTCTGAACTCTAATAGTCCATGCTTGTGATCCTTACTTATTTTGAACACCATGCCATTTGCCATGTGTATCTGCCCACCTGTAGGGTCTAATATCACTTGTGCTCCTTCATCTGTTAACAAGTTGGTTGATAAGAGATTAACATTGAGGTCTTTAACATATAATACATTCTGGAGAGATAGGTCTCCATACTCTGTTGATATGCTAATTCCTCCTATAGCAGTTGCTTCCAAGACTTCGCTTCCAGCAGTAAATATATGCTTTTGGCATGTCTTGGGTTGTATGAGCATGCTACAATTGTTGATCATAAGATAGCTGGCTCCAGAGTCTAGGATCCAATGGCTTGGTTCCTTTAATCCTGAGAGCCTTTTCAAACTTGGAGTGAGTGAGCACCAGATTTCCTAATTGGCCTGAGTGAGAGAAGAGTTTTCAGGGATGGTGACCAACACATCACACTGTCTTGCTCCATGCCCTGTCCATTTGCATACCCAGCATCTAATCTTCCAGGGTCTGCTTGCAACTCTTGCATTTGTATTGCTGTTGCTACCATCAGCTTCTTCAGTTGATTCACTCTTGTCCTTGTTGCCTGTGACTCTGGTGCTAGCCTGTTGAGGGTTGATCTTCTGGGCAGGAATATTCTTGAGTGCCAACTGCCAGGTGGTTAATGTGGTGGCAAGTGCATTGAAGCTGAGTTGATGTATGGTTTCCACAGTTTCCTTGTATACTGGGTGGCAGATCATACACTTCTGGAGGGCTGGGAATAAGGTGTCATCAGCAAATGGTTTACCCAGGAGGCTACTCTCAGTCTGGATAATGTTGATGTCTTGAATCAATTTCCTTGCATCAGAGTTGAACATTTTCATAGGGCCAGATGCGCAGAAGCAGGAAGATTAGAAGTCATATGAGGAGGAGCACAGGAATCGCAAGATCGGGCAAAAGAGGGTTTACAGCAGAGCTCAGTGAGATCTTTAGTAGAAGTGGCTCTATGGCAGATCTCATCCAAAATGGCATGAGCAGGATGTTACTACAAACCCTGCCAGAATCTGTGACATTCAGGATCATAGGATAGAACTTGAGGGAACTGGTGAGAGGACGCCAAATTCACAGATCACACAACACAACGGGGGCAGAAGACATTGGGTTTGCCACCCTGATGAAGCAGGGGGCCAGCTCAATGATGAACTCAGAGGCAGGAGGGTGGGAGAGATGAAAGGGGGTGCAAACTGCTACTCAGATGAAGTGGGAAGAGCCCCTGTTGATGATGAAACAATGTGAGGACTGTCCATCCACAGGAAGTGAGAGACACAGTGCCAATGAGCAGCATTGCAGGATGGATAGAAAGGATAGGAAAGATGGGGAGGAGGAGCAGTGTTGAAGAGGCCTCCCAGAGCAGGAGCAGTGTTGCAGGTGACATTGCGAGAATGGTTATATAACCATGCTCCTCGTTATAGCCATTGAGTGGATCCTCATCCAATCTACACCATATCTTACTAGTTATAACTTTCACATAAGTATACATTAGTATTCTGTCAACAGTCACAATTGCAGAGCATTGCTTCTAACATAGCACATGTGTTGTATCACCACTCATTGACATCATCTGAAGGTGGTTCATTCTGCAGTCCAGATATCAATCAACACTGAAGGCAGTTCATACTGCAGTCCAGTTTTCTTGATCATTAGAACCAAAGGCAGTCATCCACTGCAGTCCTGGGATCATTCAGTCACTCAGTCAGCACACTGGACACTTGTGTCAGTGCAAACATATTCACACCAGACCTTGGTGTCATCACAAAGTATCTCTTGGTTATTGATTGTGCTGAGCTACCTCTGGATGGAGTGTCCTCAGTGGTTAGTCAAAACCTGCAATAACTTTCTAGCTATTACATATTTGAGTGAGAAAAGTCATAGAAGACTTCTACAACAGATTTCAGCAAGAATAATAATAAAGGCCTTTTACAGATCCCAATACAATCAGTAGTAGTTGTCTTTCTACTACAGTTTTCAGGTTTCTGGTGCACAACCCCTGACAAACATCTTGACATCACCAAGTTGAGCGATGAGTGCGAGTCGCCGAGATGTCCTGATAGCTTCATTGCTTAAGCCATTCTCAATCTTCTTCCAGATTTGATTGAAGGTGAGATACTCTCTGACAATGTCAAGGAGGAGGTAATTAACATTATGTTCTCCCACAGTATTGATGGTGCCATGCAAGGCATTAGACAAGGCATCATTGAAGGTGCAGCTCCACTTGGAGTGGTTCCTGTTGTGCACTCCTTCAAGATGCTTCATGGCATAGGGCATAAATCATAAGAAGGACTTGACATGTGTGCTCCAACTGTAATAGTTTCATGACATCAGTTTGGGTACTGGTTCAAGGAGCTTTGATAGAGTTTGGAAGTTATATCATTTGCTACTGTCATTGATGTCAGAGTCAGAGTCATGTTCTTCATCAACTTTGTCATCAATGATTTCTGTCTTGTTTCCATCTATAGCTTTGGTATTAACTTGCATCTGTTGAGCTGTTTTACCCTTTCTTCCTCCCCTGGTCTTCTTGGCGGTTTCGCTGGTACCGACCTGAGTGTCAGTCTCCATGATTATTTGTGAGGTAAGGTAGAGGTGAAGGTCTGCTTTAGTTAGTCAAGCTTCAGACTCTTAATCAATTAAAGTGTCGACACCACTTCAATGGGGCTATAATCAAGCTCCCTTCTGACAGGTGTATGGTAACTGAGGACCTTGTATTGCTCAAGTGGGTTAGGACTACAAGCATGAGTATATATAGCTCCACAGTGTTCATGAGGAGGTTGGATCACCTAGAATGGACATAGCACCTGTTCTCCTGAGCTCTTCAATTGTCACTCCTGTAGAGTCTCTGAATCATTCCCCCTGTAATACTCCTGAGCTTTTTCCTCCACTATGTCATGCTTGCTGCATATCTGAGTCATTTTGTGAGTAAGCATGATCCAGTGATTGGTATCCTTGGCAATAGTTAGATTTAGCTATCTTGAGTTTCAGCAATTGCGAGCTTCGGCAATTGAAAACCCTAAAGATTTTCCATCATTCCTGTCTGGACTCAATCGCACAAATGAAACTGAACATCGGCTATAAGAGCACACTAAACTAGGTGGATTGCAGGCAAAAACCCGTGAGGTCCTCGAAGCTCGACAGGAGGCTCCCAGCCCGCCAACAACGGCAGTGTCGCCTGTGCAGCAGACAGTGGTCACTGCAGAGGGGCCAGAGGCTCCACCAGGTTAGAGGATGGGGTCTTGCCAGGAAGGACCAGGAGGGATGAGGGGGCCTTGCCTGGTTGAATAGAGGGTGGAGGCCACCATGGAGCAGCACTCGGTGGTGGAACGGTCAATATATTGCCGATAGCAATCTGAGTTCCATCGGCCAAGGAGCTTGATGGTTGTAAGCGGTCGCGCACCAGAGACTAGTCTTGGGTGTTATTCAATTGGTATAGATGGGATTGATTGAGTAAGGTCTACTTGGTATGTTTCAACTAAATGTAACCAGATGTCTCCAACTGGTAAGTCTTGGCTGACCACCTTGAACACTCTGTTCAGAGGTTGCATGGCACATTTGCTGTTTGTTGGAGAGTGAGTGATACCCTCTCCTTACAGTGCAAGTGTTTGCAGTACTGTTGATAATGCTCTTGGGCATCATCTGGACCACAATATACTTATCACCAACAGAGGATGGGAGTTACTGGACTGCAGGTGTGAGCCACTGCCTACAATAACTGTCTGGACTGCAGGTGTTGAGCAACACTGCCTACAGTAAGGGACTGGACTGCAAGTGTTGAAGAACACTGCCTACAGTGGAGAACTGGACCACAAGTGCTTGGAGAACACTGCCTACAGTTGACACCTAATGGTGATACAACACACATGTTTGAGGGTCATTGCAAAAGCACTGCTATTGCAATGATACATAACTAGGAGTCAAGTAAAGAGTAGAGTATAAAGTAAGTAAGTAGAGTGGATGAGGATCCACTCGTTTACTATGGTAGAATGAGAGTATTTATGCATTTGATTGGTGTCACCTGCAACACCTCTCCTGCTCCTCCCAAGGGGCCTTTGTCCCCTGTTTGACACTGTCTCTCCTACTGGTGTCAATCCCATTGATGCTGCACCCCTACTGTTTGCACAGTGTAATGGTTATGCAACACTGCCCTTTTGCCTTCATGCCCCCTTTCCACTTGATGATGTGTGACAACCCCTTCAACACAGCTCCTCCTCTTTGTTTAACCAATCTCCATTCACAGCTCCTTCTCTCTTTACTGGCAACCACCTTCTTGACCTTATCTTGTGAATCCCTTTAGCCACTTGTTGGACCTCATGACCAAACCCCTTGTCATGTGGTCACCCCTGTGCTTGATCCTGTGTGGCTATATGCATGTACCCCTTGAGTGGTAACCATCTGCCTGATGTTGAGCTTGGTCCCCCACTCCTACATATGGTTATCTCTGTATGCTTCTCCTTCTAATGCCAGTATCTTCCTTCCTGAATTTCCTGACACTTGCTTGTGTTGGCCAACTTGCTGAGGCATGCTGATCCAGCTGATCCCAATCAATCCTTGTGAGATTAACCTAGAACCCAGAGTTTGGTTGATCTCGTAAATCATATGCACTATCAACCCAATTAACATCATCAATTCCCAATGATTTGACACCAATCAATTTGGTGCACCCTTCATACATTGATCTGTCAACCCTGTGACATTACCATGAGTGCTGTCAGTCAATTTGGCACACCCTTCATATGTTGATCCATTGCCCCTGTAACAATGGTTTTGGCATCGATGCCTTGCGAAGCCGCCCACATAGCCGCCCCCCACCAAAAAGAGTGCCTGGCATATTGGGAGGTGTTGAGGCCAAGGTGAGACAGGGCTGAGTGTAGGTGCTGGAGGAAGAAGGATCATGTAAGGGGCTTGTAGCTGTCTTGCAACCCAAAGAGGGGTGCAAGGGGGTGGCAGACCAGGGGGCAGAGGAGGTGGAGCATGACATATGGGCACTCCAATCCTCCAATCTTGGGGACGACAAGGGGCATACCAAGCCAGAAGGGGTTGGTCTTCGAGGCCAGGAGGAGGACAATGGCATAGTCCTCATGCCAGGTGATGGAGTGGACCAGCAGCTGTGTTGGCGATGTGAGGTCCCAGGTGACCTCACCGCAGTGCAAGAAGCAGGCGAAGGAGATGCAGAAGGCCACAGCAACGACCTGCCAGTCCCAAGCTCCAAGAGAGGCAGAGGGCGGGAGCTGCTGGAGGAGGGCCCAGAGGAGGGGGAGGGTAATAGGGTGCTTGGAAGCTGTGGGGCAAAGGCCATGGGTATGCTTGATGCCATGGACCACATGCTCCAAGCAGCCATGGGAGAAGGCCTCAAGAGGGAACCCAAGGTCGACATGCCAGGAACAGAGGGCATCGAGCTCGTGCTTGAGGCTGTGGAAGGAGTGAGTTTGTGCCATATCGCAGACCCACTCTGTGAGAAACAAGTCGGTGGCTGGGAAGGGTGGCACCCCAGGGCCGAAATGACTCCAGATGAAAGACTGGTATCAGTCAGGCACACCTGCACTGCGTTTGCAACTGAACTCGGCAAGACCCCACCAGATGTAAGTGGCTGCAAGGGCCAAACAACTGGTGGCATTGACAAAGGCCTTGGGCACTCCACAGAGATGGTGGGGAAGAGGAGGCAGTGGGCAGGAGGAAAATGTTGCTGTATCGCATGGAAACAGCAACGAGAGAGAAGGTCAGCCAAGATGTTATCCTTTGAAGTGACACAAACCGGATGCAGGGTATTGTGGCACTGGAAACACAGGCCAAAGATCGCACAAAGGATGGTCTGCATGAGAGGGTCACGAGAGCGACCTGTGTGGAGGCCAAATTCGACATTGGTGTTGTCAATGTGGAGGACCACAAGACGGGGGCCGGTCCAATGGGTGGAGAAGGCACGAAGCGCCTCCAGGACTGCCAAAGCCTCCAGAAATCGAATGTCCTTCATGCAGTGGCGACAGGGCACCTCCCAAGAGAGGGCGGCTGAGGGGGACTGCATGAGGTCCTGGTGGGCACCATAGCTGCACTTGGATGCGTCGGTCCAGATGTGCTTGACAACAAGTGGGGAGGGTTGGAGAAGGGAATAACCTGGCCAGGCTCGGAGGGTGGTCTTCCACCATCGGAGCTCAGCTGCGGCGGGTTGAGAGATTCGGAAAAGGGAAAAGGGGTGGTGATGAGCAGTTTTGGAAGTGTCATACAGTCGCCGCAAGTAGGCTCGGCCGTGCAGTACCACTTGGGAGACAAACTGCAGGAGACCTGCTATGTGCTGCCAGTCAATTAAGTGGGCAGAGCGCTGGGCCAGGAGCATGGTGATGGCATCTAAGATGCGCTGACGCCGTTTGGGGGTGATGCCAATGCATTGCCAGACAGTGTCAACCTCGATTCCAAGGACTTCGAGCTTGGTAGTGTCCCAAAAAGTCTTCTGTGGCACGAGGCAGAGGCCGAGTGCGGAGCACGCTATGGTGAGAGAGTGAAGGGGTTGACAAGGGTTGGAGGCCACCGGGACGGCTCCAAAGAAATCATCCAAGTAATGCTCAACGGGGTGGTGGGTGGTCGATTGCAAGACCCAGTGTAAGGCCTCGGCAAAAAGATTGAATAGCCAACGGGAGCTGCGGCCGCCAAAGGTAAGGCCCATTTCCATGTAGTGTTGTCCGTTAAAGGTGAAGCCAAGCAACCAGGCATCATCAAGTGTTGTGACAACATGCCGGAAGGCGTCAGCCAGATCGCTCTTCCATAGGCAGTGCCCTGATTTTCACGGACAAATGCTAAGAGGGGAGCCAGGGAGCCATATCAGATAGAGGTGAATGAGGGGGAAATGCTGTTGTTAACAGATGGCAGCTGGTGGGGTTGAGGTTTGCGGGGGTGAGACAGATGATGGATGGTGTGTAGCTTGTCAGATCGCAGCTTTGGCACAACGCCAATGGGTGAGCAAACCAGATGGGACTGGGTGGGGTCGACAGCAACCAGGCGACCCTCCTGCAGGTGTGTCTCGAGTTTGTGCTGGAGGTGCAACTTGCTCTGGGAGTCCATGGGGAGGTTCCAGATGGTGCAGAAGCGAGGAGTATTACGAAGGGGGCTGGAGTAGCCCAGGTTGACCCCATGCCTAATGGCACCCAGGAGCTGGGTGACAAACAGGTGGTCAGGATAGTTCTGGAGAGCTTGGCGCCAGTGCGCAAGAGATGCTTGCATGGTACCATGGTGGGTGGGAAGACCAGCAGGGTTGTAAAGTGGTTGGGCCACCCTGGTGTTAGGCCAGGGTGGCGGGCGAAGGTTTTGGAGTGGCAGAAGCTGAGCCGAGGCCTGATCGCAGGATGGCATGTGAAGGGGATGAGTGAAGGAGGAGCTGCTGGGCGTGACCGGGCAGCGGGAAGTGCGAGCTGTGAGTTGGCGGGGCATGGGAAGAGATGGACCAGTCACTGGGAGATGCTGGGGCTGGGTTGTGCCGCTGTAGCCTCGCAGGACGGGATGGACAACCAGGGACAGCTGGTGGATGCTGAAGGAAGGGGCGGAGAAATTAGGTGGTTTGGTTTGCCTTTGGTGATGGGCCTGTGGGTTGCGCGGTGCGTGTGCATGTCTTCGATGGGTGCAGGCTGCCACAGGTGATGCACACGTGCTTTCGGACACAGGGTCGCTGGTCTGTGCCAGAACATCGGCCCTGGTTCCACAACATGCACGTCTGGTCACGGCGCGGGTTGTCATGATGTGCTGTGGGTTGCTTGGTATGGTTATTGGAGGGGGTGTGAGCTGGAACCCCTTGGAAGTGCATGGCATGGAGTTTGGTATCGAAACAAGCCCACTCTGCCGTGGAAGCTCGGCTGAATCGAGATGTGCAAACAGCGATTATGTAACCAGCTATGCAGTCCTAAGGAAAAACATCTGAGAGGTCGGCCACGTGTTGGTAGAAGCGACTGAGACTGACTGAAATGTTTGTGTTGTGGGATGTCGAGGACCAGAGCGACAGGTAGATGACCCACAATCAGCCAAATGTGGAAAAGTTAGGGACAGTTTTACTGAACTGATGGTTGGAAGCAGAGGCTGAGGGGCCCTTCATGACCGAGAAGCCCTCAATGACTACTGGGGCCGGTTCGTCCTGAGCTGTGGCGCCAGGCCAAGACGGATTGGCTAGTTTCAGGAGGTCGTAGACGCTGAGTGTGTCCTGGTGGACCTTGTCAATGAGGTCGGTCATCAGCCAAGGGTAGGATATGGCCCCTGGGTACTCACCTAGTTGTGCCGAAAAGGCTGGAGCAGGCGGCGCCGGAGGAAGGTGGTCATTGTGAGCGAGATTGGAAGCGTTTTTTGTGGGCAGTGGAGTGGTAGTACTGGCCACCCGTTGAAAGGCTTTGGCAATTTCGTCCTGGAGGAACTGGTGAAGCTCACCAATGCTGGCCGAGAGGTCAGAGTACATAACAAAGTGAGGGTTGGGCTCTGCAGGTGTAGTGGTTGGGGCAGAAGAGATTGCGGGGAGAGGAGGTGCAGGTGGAGCTGTGGGAGGCGGGGCCACTAGGTGTGGAAGGATGGGGATGGTGAGGTTTGGGACTGTGGTGGAGACGGGGTGGGGTAAGGGTCCAATGTGGGTCGAGTCCTGTGAATTTCTGGGAGAGTTGGAGGGTGGAGGGGGTCCGTTGCGGGCTGGCACTGGAGAGGGTCCGGTGGTGTGCGAATGTTGAGGAGGTCTGGTGGTGTTCGACCCAGGTGGGGGTGATTGGGAGGGGTTTGGAGCAATGGAGCGAGGGTTGCCAGTGCAGCAATCGAGACAAGATGTGGTGGTCCTGTGCAGGAACCACTGGTGGCAAAATGAGATGAGCGGCTTGGAGAGCTTACAAATGCGACAGAGTTGTTCCATATCGTTCATTGTGGTGTAAGGTGTTGAGGTCACTGGAGCCGTGAAGGCTGGGACCAAAAGGTCACTGAGCAGTGCTGGGAAGTCAGAGCTCCAAACAGTGGCACTGCGGGACAGCGGGAGAAAAATGACAAAACAGGCTGCTTGTCATATGCCTGGTGTTGGAGAAGATGATGGTAGTGAAGAGAGAGGTGGAGAGCAAATAGATGTTGTGAAGAGTGGAACGGAGAGCAGAACAAAGCGATGGCTGAGTCCAGTCCAGACGCGCACGCCTTTTTATGAAAATCACGTGATGCAATCTTCAACTCGTTGGCTCGTGCAACTCCACCTTTAACAGTCTCGTTCAGTGCCGAGTTCAGCTGGCGTATGTGTGCATACCATCAACATCATCATCATCATCATCACCACCACATCCTTCCATCACTTCAGTCGTTCTCTACTTGAACAACAGGCACCGAGTTCTCCGACAAGCTGCCTCAGTGAAAGGCTAGCTTCATCCATCCACCTTCAGCCATGGACGACTCAGCCAAAGTCCTCTCCGAGGCCCTCAACGTAGTCAAGGTGCAACTCGTTCAAATGAAACGATGTCTCGACGCAGATCAAGTCATGGATGCGCTCAAGAGCGCTTCAACTATGCTCTCCGAGCTCAGAACTTCTTCGCTGTCGCCCAAGAACTACTATGAGCTTTGTAGGTAGCCCACTATCCGCTCTCGCTTCCTGTCCATGCAAAGGCAAACCCACTGACCTTACATCCATCCTTTCATACTCGTCCTCGTCGTTGAAACAGACATGGCCGTATTCGATGCACTGCGACATCTATCGATTTATCTCTACGATGCTCATACCGCCGGCAAACATCACCTTGCCGACTTGTACGAGCTTGTGCAGTACTGCGGAAACATCGTTCCTCGTCTCTATCTCATGATCACCGTCGGCAGTGTATACATGTCGATACCCGACGCACCCATCAAGGAGATCATGAAGGATGTTATGGAGATGAGTCGAGGTGTTCAGCATCCCACCCGAGGTCTCTTCCTTCGTCACTACCTCAGCGGTGCGACACGCGACTACCTCCCGGTCGGTCAAGGCATGGGCCCTGGCGGCAATCTCCAGGACAGCATCGGTTTCGTGCTCACCAACTTTATAGAGATGAACAAGCTGTGGGTCCGTCTCCAACATCAAGGCCACTCGCGAGATCGCGAGAAGCGCGAGATGGAAAGAAAAGAACTTCGCATTCTTGTCGGAACGAACCTGGTTCGCCTCAGCCAGCTTGAAGGTGTCGATCTCGAAATGTACCAGCGAACCATCCTTCCTTCCATCCTCGAACAGGTCGTCAACTGCAAGGATGTCATTGCGCAAGAGTACCTCATGGAGGTTGTCATCCAGGTCTTCCCCGATGACTTCCATCTTCGTACCCTTGGACCCTTCTTGTCTGCTTGTGCAGCTCTCCATCCGAAGGTCAACATCAAGCAGATCGTCATTGCTCTCATTGATCGTCTTGCCGCTTATGCTGCACGTGAAGCGGAAAACGATAGTCCGGAGGAGATCAAGAGGCAGGAGGAGGAAGCGAGTCGTCGCCTTGCGGAAAAGACGCAACAAATGAGGATGACGGGCCAGAGCGCAGGTCCTGGTTCTGTCTGGGACGAGGTGACTGCTCAAGGCGACCCCAAGGCTAAGGCCGCTGACATTGCGGAGCCTGCATCCCCTACAGCTGCCGATCTCAGCAGCATGCCTCCACCTCCTGTCGAGCCGAGCGGGTTTGGGATGTCCTCTGCTGACCGAGATTCTGCAGCAGCACCTAATGTTGCGACACACAGCTCTGAAGAGCCTGTCTTCCGTAGTGTGCCAGAGGGTCTGGACGAGGATGCTTGGGGATCGGCTGGAGGTAGCGGCGCAGATGCCGGTGCAGTCCCTACGGCAGGCTCGAGTACGTGGGCATCGCAGACCGACGATGGAACCGAAGCGAGCAGCGCACAGCTCACTGCCGATACGGGTGCTACTTCCACTGCGGCAAGCGCTGCTGCACAAGATGAGCACAACACTCGAGCGCAAGAGTTCCCTTCTGCCGGGTTTGGCACTGGCAATGGCACCAACAGTACCGACGCGAACGGCGACGCCAAGAAGGCGACTGCACCCGCACAGGCTCAAGCTCCTCGCCAAGCAACGATCTCCGAAAAGCCCGTTGGCAAGTTCAGAGGCATCCCTGACGATGTACGCCTCTTCGAAGTGTTTTGGGAGCAGATTGTGCAGCTTATCCGTGCTCGACCCGATCTTTCCATTCAAGACATCACGGCGTTGCTCGTCTCGCTCGCCAACCTCTCGCTCAGCTGCTACCCCGACAAACTCGAGTATGTCGATCAAGTGCTGGCATTCGCACGCGAGAAGGTCGTCGAGTTCGAACAGAGCCCTGACCTTCACAGTCCAGCGACAGCCACCAACCTCAATTCGCTGCTCCTCTCGCCCATCAATTCGTACCTCACAGTGCTGACGTTGTTGGCGCTTCCCTCGTATCTGTCGTTGCTGTCGGTGCAGCCCTACACAACGCGAAAGTCTATTGCACAAGCCGTCGTCATGTCGGTATTGCGCAACGAGACTGTCATGTCGACACCTGAAGATGTCAGTGGCGTTCTGGATTTCTGCAGTCCTATCATTCGCGATCACAAGGATGCTCTCATGGGCGGGTTGCCTCATGGAGGCATGTATATGGGCGCAGGTGGTCACGGCGGTCAAGCAGGCTACGGCGGCAACTACGGTCACTACGGCGGTGGAGGCGACGCTAGAATGGTTCAAGGCATGTATGGTACCGGTGTTCGCGGTGTGGGTCGTCATCACATGATGCAGTACGATATGGAAGAGATGGCCGAGGAACAAGGTTGGATCGCTCGCATGATTCATCTTTTCCGCGCTGAAGAGCTTGAGACGCAATTCAGCTTGCTTCAAACCGCACGCAAGCACTTTGTTGATGGTGGTGAACGGATCAAGTTTACGCTCCCTCCTCTTATTACTTCTGCGATTAAGCTCGCTCGGCGATACAAGCTGCGCGAAAGGGAGGAGCCGAATTGGGAGTCAAAGATGTTTACGCTTTACAAGTTCATCCACCAGGTGATCTCAATTCTGTACAACAAGGTCGAGTCTTCAGACATCTGCTTGAGGCTTTTCTTGTTGGCTGCGCAATCGGCGGATGAAAGTGGGTTTGAAGAGTTGGCGTACGAGTTTTACGTTCAGTCGTTCACGATCTATGAAGAGTCGATTTCGGAATCGCGCGCTCAGTTGCATGCAATCGGCTTGATTATCAGTACGCTTCAGACCGCACGCGTTTTCGGAACGGATAACTACGATACTCTGATCACGAAGGCGGCATTGCACGGTGCGAAGTTGTTGAAGAAACCTCATCAAGCAGCGGCGGTGATGATGGCGAGTCATTTATGGTGGCAGACTGAAACACCTGGTCATCCGTCCGGACTGGCGACAAATTCCTCCTCGGCGACGGGGAACAGTGTTGCTGCGGCCAGCGGTAGCACGCCTCCCACCAACGGATCCAACCCGAAGGAGAACAAGCCAATCCTTCTCAAAGATGGCAAACGAGTCCTCGAATGTCTGCAAAAATCCCTCCGCATCGCCAATTCATGCATAGACGAACGCAGCACAGTCGAAATCTTCTGTTCCGCTCTCGACCAGTATCTCTACTATTTCGAGCAAAGGGTGGAAGCGGTTGCGCCGAAGTATATCAATTCGTTGGTGGAGTTGATTTCGAATGGGTTGGATTCGTTAATGTCTTCGGAAGCTGATGGTGGGGCAACGACTCATCCAGCGATTGTGGGTGGTGGGTTTTTGGAGTTGCCAACAACGCCGGATAGTTGTCTGAGACATTTCAGGAGTCAGTTGCAGTATATCAAAACGAGGAAAGAGGCTAGTGCTTTGGCGCTGGCGAATACGAATGCTGGGGAAAGTGGGGCTAGTAGTGGGCCGGATTGGGGTGCGGTGCAGATTGGGCCGAGTTTGACAAAGTTTGGTCTCAAGTAGGGTTGCGTGGATGAATGGTAATTTATGCTCTTTTAGTTGAAGTCAGACGCGCCCGTACAGTCCCTGCCCAAAGTTTGGGGACAGGGTCCAATAGACAATGATTTAACCATCTGATAGCATACCTTCCATCTGCTTGGAGGATTGATCTCTCATAAGTGTCAGACTGAGCAAAACACACAGTGAGCAAGTTCAAAAGAAGAGCTTTCAATTGCAGTGAGTCTCGGAGCCAACTAATACTTGAGCAGACCTCCATGCTTAGTAAGCACTTGCTCCACGTGATGCTCCATTGACTCGATCACAGGATTGATATGTTTGAGTGTGATCTGGGTGTTCCACACTTCCTCTGCAGCTCTTGCAAGCTCATCCTGGGTTTTCGGTACCAGCAAGCACTTACCAAGCAAGTTTTTGAATACATACCATATGTTCTCAATAGGGTTAAGGTCCAGCAAAGCCAGCAGGTGTTCCTGCATCTTAATGTGGTATTCAGCCTGCCATTGCTTGCAGATAGCAGCCTGATGGCAGCTGCTGCCATCTTCAACAAGCAACAGGCCATCAGGGTATGCACTAACAGCAGTTATGGTGTCCCAGAGTGGGCCATCAATGATCCAATTGTGATATCTGACAGCTGTGAGGTTCTCAGTGAGATCCTATTGATTAGCTGACCCTGGCTGCTTCTTTCTTGGAGCCAATGGGAGCACAACCAACAGTGTTTTAAGGTTGTATGCAATGCTGGCCCATACCTGGATGCTGAAATGGCCAGAATGGAATGTTGGAACCATGTTGTTGATGTCTTCTCAAGTGTTTTTCTGGCAACTAACCCATGTGTGTCTGGGCCAGCAGCCAACCTCGACAGCTGCCTCATCAGTGAACAGCACACCCCTCCAATCAGTTGTGCCATTAGCCTTGGCCCATTCTAGATGTTTATGCCAGTTTTTGGCTGTCAGAAATGGCTTTTGAAGCACAATCCAGCAGTTGATACCAGCCCAGTATGCTGCTTTCCAGAGCTGCATTATTGGAATGCTGCCAAGCGATGCTGACAGCTGTCACCATGATAGAAACAGGTTTTTGAGTACCTCATGCTGAAGGTATCAGTCCAAGGTAGCTGTCCAGGAGCATGGATGGCTGGATTGTGCTTTTGTTTCAAAGGTACCACACTCCTTAAAGTTATGGATGGTCTTGTGAACTGCTGTCTTGGAAATGCCACTTAGCTCTGTGATTTGTTGAATTGGCAGCCCAGTATCATGCATTGCAATGATTGAAGCATGCTTGCTTGGAGAGAGCTCATTGCCACAGACCATATCAGTGTTTGAAGTGTTCTTGCTTAGTATGATGGTAGTCCTATTGCTCAATGATGACAACAACCCAAATGTGGGATAACCGGCTAAATCAGGAAATTACCCGATTGTCCTCAAACTTATGCACAGGCATTGTACATACTGGACTCTATTGAAATATAGAGAAGATTTGGTCCCGATAACTGGCGATCGGGGAGAGTCTGAGTACGATGTCACTGCTGCTAGAAGACAGAAACATATATACTCGATTGACTGGTGAACGTGGTGATAATCTAGTGTTCTCAGCTTGATATACAGCTCGCGTGTAAACTGTCCCGAGATTTTAGATGTCAGTACAAAGTTCCTATAGTTATCGATCGTGCTGAGCTACCTCTGGATGGAGTGTCCACAGCAGTCAGTCGAAACCTGCAATAGCAAACACACTACTACATCTTCAAGCAAGAAAAGTCATAGAGGCTTTTCTATGACATATCTTGACAAGAATAATAATACACAGCACTCTACCACATATCTTGACAGGATCTGTAACAGAAGCATTTCTATTACAGATATCAGGTTTCAGGCACAAGACCTCTGACATTAGAGTGGATAGTTCAAGCAGCACCCCAAAATCAACATGATGGACAAGGGCCTGAACAACAAGCTCAAGAGGCTTCTCTCCCTAATGGAGGCTCAGCTGGAGCTCACCAGACAAGGTCAACACAAGGAGTGCCTACACTGCACTCACCTGAGTGAAGAAGAGACAATTGAGCTCTCCCACTCAAAAGATCAGGCAGGAGGGGACAAATCCATGATAGGAGACCTGCCCACACCAACCCTGGCATTGCAACCAAGGCAAGCAGTGTCATTTGCTGACTTGGATGAGCAGTCTGGCATCAATTACAAGAAGTATGCTTCCCCCACCAGGCCTAGATACTTCAAGCCCTGGGTGGACCCATACAACAGGCCTAGGATGCATCCTTATGGCCTGGAGCAAGAGGATGATGCTAGTGCAACAGGAGACCCCAACCTATTGCAATCAAAGCCAATCACCACCCCATTCCCCAAGTTCAATCTAAGAGATGTGGAAATCTTCATTCTTGAAGCTGAAGCCTGGTTCAAGTTCAATCAGGTTTATGAGCAAGCACACATGATCAACCACATGGGTGCTCAATTGGAAAGGAATGCTTGCAAATGGTGGACCTCCAAACTCCACATTGACAGAGCACAAGAAGGGAGACTGTTCCATGACTGGCACTACTTTACTGAGTGCCTAGCAGAACAGTTCAATCCCTGGAATACCAGAATGGAGGCCTACAACAAGTTGCTGGCTGTCCAGCTTACTAGTGATGCACCAGGTGCTGCCACACACCATGTAGAAGGCTTCAGAGACCTGGAAGGGCAAGTCAACCTGGATGATAACAAACTAGTTATTGACTTATTCAGAGGCAGCCTCACACACAGCCTGCAAGAGAAGTTTGAGCAGAACCCACCCATGAAAAGGTGGGAATGGTACTGGGAGGTCAAAGAGTTTGACTGGCAAAGGATGCTTCTACAGCAATCTGCTGCTAGACATCCAAGCACCACTCTGCCATGACCAAACTCAGGAGGCTGGCCTATGCCACCAGTTCAGAGTTCCTCGCCAGCTCGCCAGCCAGCACAAGCTTACCCAGCTCATCAGCCAGTGCAAGCAGTTCTTGGAAACCCTAGCTGACCAGCTGATCAGCTGGTGCCTTGTCAGCTTGTTTGGGACCCAAGACAGAAGGGCCTGCCCATAACTCATACCAGCATTTGCCACTTGTACAAAGGTGTTGAACACTGGGCAAGAGACTGTCTGAGTAAGAAGCTGGACCCCCTGGGCCCATGACCCATGGGACCAAAGGTCATGGTGACCACAGAGGAACTCCTCAAGGAAGGAGCCCCAGACTCAGGAGAGGAGCACATGGGCAACCTGGAGATGGTTGAACCTGATGACCTGGACTTCAGCCAGTACCAGCAACTGATGGACACTGGTCCTGAAGAGGTCCAAGACAATGGCAACAAGGGAAACATCAGTGGGGCAATGCACTAATGGCATGCATGGCCCTACAAACCTCATCGCCATCCCTTTGTATATATCAAGATTGCCCCTTATGTTTCTCTACCAGCGGAGGAAAAGCAGTATTAGAGCTATCTGGAACTGTCACCGGACACCAGCTTGCCATCAACAGTTCAGCGACGATACAAGTTGCTTCTGGCGAGCACAGCCTAGGAGTAGTAGAAGTCTCAGTGGCTGACACTGCCAACTACAACCTCATATTGGGTTTCACCAAACTTAGGAGGCTCAAGCTAACTATATGTTGGGATACAGGCCAACTAGAGTTCAAGGCCCAAGGACAGGAATGACCACCAGAAGCAGTGGTAACTGGGGGTCTACACACAAAGTCAGCAGAAGTTGTCATAGAAAGTAATCTATCACTGAATTCAGCGAAAGCAATGGTAACTCGCAAGTTGGAAGAATTCACCATAGAAAGAAGTCTATCACCGAATTCAGGAAAATCAATTGTAACAAGCTCCTATGGCAAGAAGCCAAAGCACCCCACCCTACATGGGAATGAGTTTGTATCAGCAGAATGCCTGCAATGAGCAGCCCTCAAGGATGGACCCATTGGGTCCATGCTGTTGGATAGCCCACCCTCATTGCTCCTGGCCTTTGGGTTTGTACCCACTGGCACTGGCAAAGGGGTTGAAATGGAGGTGGAAGTTGATAAGAAGGTATTGGCAGAAGACATACCAAAACAGTATTGACATTTGCAAGACATGTTTGATGAGGTGGAAGCAGACAAGCTGCCCCATCATACTGAGTATGACCTCCATCTCAAGTTGATGGAAGGTAGTAGGCTGCCACAGGGCCCACTGTACCTCAAGGAGCCAAAGGAGATGGCCAAACTGAGGAAGTACTTGGATGAGAACCTTGCAAAGGGGTTCATATGTCCATCAAAGAGCCCATCAAGGTCACCAGTGCTCTTCATGCCAAAGAAGGAAGGAGGTCTCAGACTTTGCATGGACTATTGCAGACTGAATGAGATCACCATCAAGAACCAGGCACTGTTGCCCCTCATCGAGGAGCAGCTATTCCTGCTATGAAAGGCAAAGGTCCATTCCAAGCTAGATCTGCAGGTGGCATACAATCTCATCTGCATTGCAAAAGGAGATGAATGGAAGACAGCATTTGGCACACAGTTGGGACTCTACATGTCCCTAGTGATGCCCTTTGGCCTGGCAAATGTGCCAGCCCACTTCCAATCATTTATCAACAACATCTTCCAAGACATCTTTGGAGTGTATGTAGTTGCCTACTTGGATAATTTCCTGAACTTCAGCAACACTGAAGACAAGCATGTACAGCATGTCACAGAGGTCCTCCTCCAATTGAGGAGCAACTGACTGTTCACCAAGCTGTCTAAGTGTGAGTTTCACACTACCACAGTTGAGTTCCTGGGGTACATTATCAAACCCACTGAAGTGGAAATGGACCCAGAGAAGGTGTGAACTGTCAAAGAATGGCTGATGCCAGAGTCAATCCATGACATCCAACAATTCCTGGGCTTTGCCAACTTCTACCAATGATTCATAGCCCACTTTGCCTGGATCACCAAACCATTAACCTTACTGGTGAAACTGATGGAATGCGTCAAGAAGTTTGAGTTACCAGAAGAGGCTCAACAGGCCTTCCACAAGCTCATACAGGCATTCATGATGGCCAGAGTGCTAAGACACTTTAATTACCACCTCCCAACAAGGTTGGAGACAGATGCAAGCAACTTTGCCATTGCAGGAGTGCTCAAACAAGAGCATGAAGGACATTGGCACACTGTAGCCTTCTACTCCCAGAAGATGTTGTCTGCCAAGAAGAACTACAAGATCCATGACAAGGAACTCCTAGCAGTGGTAGCCTGTCTCACTCAGTGGTGACACATGCTTGCAGGGCTGCCTAGTCAACTAGTCATTCTCATGGACCATGAGGTGTTCAAGTACTTCAAGTTGCAGCACCACATCACAGGGCAACAAGCCAGATGGGTGGTATTGCTGGCTGATTTTGACTTCATGCTGCAATACTGACCAGGAGACAAGGGTGGTGAACCCAACACTCTCACCAGATGAGTTGATATGCAACCAGTCAGTGAGGAGCAAGAGCACAATGTGCAGCAACTGCTACCTTCCTGGGTATTCAAGAAGGTGGAAAACAAAATTGGTAAAAGAAGTGGGATACAGAAAAATCCAGCAGAAACCATAGTAACAAGCATGGTATTACTGATTCCAACAGAATCAGTCCTAACAGCATGTTTGGATGATGATTCTGTATTAGCAGCTCCCATGCTCACAATGGAGTCCATAGCAACACAAGGGCTCAAGGAGCTGACCAAGATCTTTCAGCCCTTGGACCTGGAGCTATGGGAGATCCATGTTAAGAAGCCATTCGAGATCAAGGATGGCTTATGGCACAGTGGCAGAAGCTTATTGTCAGAGGTCGCGCGCCCAAAACCTGATATCTGTAATAGAAACGCATCTATTACGAATCCTGTTGAGATATGTGACAATGCTTGAAGTATTATGGTTCTTGTTGAGATATGTGTCATGGGCCTGAATTCTCAAGAAGCAGGAGGGTCACTGGTTCATATGGAAGGAGCACAGGTATCGGAGATCTAGTCGATACCAGTGGTGAGCATGGTCGTAGTGCAGTCTCCATGGAGACCATGGACTCCTATGGACTCACATGTGAGGAGGGCCAGGCACAGCCACAAGGAGGACCAAGCTCAAGGAGCATGCAGATGGTTACCACTCAGGGGCTTGAGAGACAAGAGTCAAAGGAACCATCACCAGTCAAAGGAGAAGGAGCAGTGTATAGGGAACCAGCAAGCAGGTCCTGAGGAGGAGGAGCAGTGTCAAAGGAGTTGCCACCACTCAGGAGGCACAGGGGTGCCAAGCAAGCAGGATAGCAAGGAGGAGGAGCAGTGTCAAAGGAGTCGACACAGCTCAAGAGGCACAGGGGTGCCAAGCAAGCAGGAGAGGCCCCCTGAACAGTACTCGATGAAGAAGGTACCCTCTGGAGAGAGAGCAAGAGCAGCATCGCTGGCGACACTGTGAAGAGGTATATAACCATACTTTCTCATCATCAAAGGTCGAGTGGATCCTCATCCACTCTACACCCATCATAACTAGTTATCACTTCAGCATAAGTATATATTAGTTTCAGTCAGCATAGTAGCAATCTATCAAGGTTGCTCCTCATTGTAGTGTGTGTGTTGTATCACCACTACCTGATGTCCAAAGGCAGTTCATAGCAAACCAGCAGTCCAGATATAGATAGAACTGAAGGCAGTCATCCACTGCAGTCTGGGGATCACCTCAAGCATCAGTCAACACACTGGACACTTGTGTTGATGCCACCAACCTTATCATCAACACCATCAACCTTATCACCAACACCTTCAACCTCATCATCATCAACACTCACACCAGACCTTGGTGTCATCATAACCTACGCATTGATATTGATTGTGCCAAGCTACCCCTGAATGGAGTGTCCACAGAGGTCAGCCAAAACCTATGATAGTATATACAACGAAAGCCACCTGCTGTCATTGCACAACTTGATAGTTGCCAAGCGACTAGCTCATCAAGACTGATACCGAGACAATAGCTGTTGCACAGTTTGATAGTCACCAAGTATCTTGACAGACCAACCTGGGTTTCAGGCGCGAGACCCCTGACATCTGGCAGGATGATGAAGTCGGTGCCAACAGGTGGGCGCTGACGACCAGAGGACGATGAAAGGGGGTGCAAGTCGCCACTCAGATGAAGTGGGACTGGCCCCTAATGGAGATGAGACAACAAGAGGTCCATCCATCTGCAGGAGGAAAGGGAAGCGATGACAATGAGTGGCATCACAAGAGGGATGGAGAGGATAGTAGGGAGGAGGAGGAGGAGCAGTGTCACAGGTGACACTACAAGAAAGGTATATAACCATGCTCCCCATCATAGGATAAGAGTGGATCGCCATCCACTCTACACCATACATAACTAGTTATCACTTTAAAGCATAAGTATACATTAGTTGCAGTCAGCATAGTTGCAATCAAGTAGGTTGCTTCCATTGTACTGTGTGTGTTGTATCACTGCTCACTGACATCTGAAGGTGGTTCATAGCAAACCAGTGGTCTGGATAATGATAGAACTGAAGGCAGTTGTCCACTGTGGTCTGGGGATCACCTCAAGCATTCAGTTGACACACTGGACACTTGTGTCAGTGACATCAACAATCTTGATCACACCAGACCTTGGTGTTGGTATCAGTTCATAACAGTTATTGATCATGCCAAGCTACCTCTGGACAGAGTGTCCACAGTGGTTAGTCGAAACCTGCAATAGCAAAACCACTACTACATCTTCAGGCAAGAAAAGTGATAGAGATGTCTCTACTACATATTGTCAGGGGTCTCGCGCCTGAAACCGAGGTCGGTCTGTCGAGATACTTGGTGACTATCAAACTGTGCAACAGCTATTGTCTTGGTATCAGTCTTGATGAGCTAGTCGCTTGGCAACTATCAAGTTGTG